CCATCAACCCTGCTTCGTTTGCCAGTCCGACCCTTGGCATCCAAGCCCCTAGCGGTGTTGGGCCTGGAGCAGTCGGTGTTGGCCGTGGTTCAAACAACTCCGAGCGACGATCTGCGCAGCAACAGCAACAACAACAACAACAGCAGCAGCAGCAGCAGCAGCAACAGGACCAGCAGCCTGGAGGATTCGGTGGCCCTGGCCCGGCTGGTCGCGGATTCCAAAACTCCTTCACTCCGCCGTTTGGTGGAGAGAGACCTGGAGGGCCTGCTGGTGGCTACGGTCAACCGAACTATCCCTACTCGCATATGGGCGGCATGGGCAGCGCGCCCAGGCCTGGAAACGTTCCTTATGTTCCGGGAGTCGTCCCGTCGCTCGACAGCTACAGTTTCCCAGGAGCGGCCGACTACCAGATGCGGTCGCGTTTTCCGCCAGGAACTGAAACCGGCCCACACGAGCCGGGCGGAGGCCCCATGAACTCTCAGAACGACTGGGCCGCCGCGTTCCAAGGTCTCTCCTTGAATAGTCGTTAAGGGAGTATCTCCGTTTCGACAGCGAGTTTGACATCTGCATTCTGCATTCGCCGGCTGGTCGAGCTTTTCGATAAGCATCTTATAACTATTTTTCTCTGCCCTTCAACACATTTGAACGCACGTCGCCGCAACGGCTTATCGTACATGGATACGGTTAGCATGGTTGGGGTATTGTAAGCATAGCCAATGGCTGCCGAGCCCGGCAATCTTTATCTCTCACTGTTGGCGTTGGAAGGTTGAAATTTCTGCTTTTAAATTGCCAAAAAAACGGTGGGACCTTCGTGCTTCTTTTCGGAAGATAAAAAGAGGACAGCAAAGGGGTGAAACCGGAAGAGACATGTTGACCCCCGAAACACTTTCACTTTTTTCCTTTATGTTTCGAAACTCTGGAACCACGGCCTTTCCTCCCCGATTCATGATGATGAGAGATTCAAGAGAAGACTGAGGGGCTTTCATTACTACTCAGGGCACTACCGACATAGACAGAGAGACTTCCTTTACTACTTTATTCTTAACTCCCTCCCCCACCCTCAATCACCCCACGAGCATGGTGTAACCTGAGATCAAAAAAGGACTTGACTTGCGGTTCTGGTTCTGGTTCTGGTTCTGGCTTATGGCTTGGTGTCGGATTCTTGTACGAAAGATTTTGCTATTCCATCAACTTTAGGCTTCGAGACCATCAAGATTTTACAGCTGTCCAAAATCTACCATTCTGCTGCGCGTGATTCGTTGTATTTTCGTCCCCAGTTATATGTTAGGAATAACACGGAGCGTTGATGCTTGTGAAGCTGCTCCATCTCCAAGACGTCACTCAGCCGCCCGCAACATGTCATTTGACCTTTCCTCAGCAACACCACGTGGGTAAGGCACAATGCGTACCATGTATGGCGGACGGTCCTGGCAATCCCCGCACCCTGAACTTTCAGATCGCCCCGTCGTTCAAGCTTTCACCCGAAAAGCCCTTGACATATACAAGATGCTGGCCGACGACCATACCCTTGGGTTGCGGTCCGGAGCCCACCCTGGCCGTCTGCAGACAATGACCGGCACATGTACAGGAAGTCAAGGATGATGGCTTTCCATTCCGGCAACTACCCTGTGCCAGGCCCTTAAGTGATGCATCATGTGAGCATCGACGATGAATCACTGCCAGTGTATAACCATACCGGATGTCCACCATATGGGGGAGGGGCAGGAGATTTGGTGACCAGTGATGTATGAGAGGAATTAAGACTCGGCATCGGCGTGTCTGAAACGCTTAATTTTGAGGTACTTGGGGGTGTTGGACTCGAAGGGTGACATGGAACACTCATGGTAGCAGACCTGGCAGAAACCAACGACCTCATTTCCTCAGCTAGTCGGCTGCCGCTCGCCCTTATGCAGAGGGGGGCCCAAGGTCGACATCAAGCTGCCACCAGAAGGGCGAAGAGCAGCAGGTGACTTCAGGATCTACGGATATGGTCGAAGACGGTCATCTGCAGTGGCTTTCAACAGTCCAAAACATGAGGTGGACGGAACAGCGGATAGGTCAACCGATATAAAAATGCTCGCACGCCAACATGGCCGTTGAACGAGACATGTCAAGGACGGGAGGTGGGCAAAGATGTGATGGCTCGAGACTATGTGACAGAAAGTCGCCCTAGGAATGCTCCTGCAGGGTGTTGGGCTTCTTTCGAGTACTGGCATAGCAGAGAGCCAGTAATGAGGATACCAGCTTCAATGTTAATGGTGGGGGGAGAGAAATCTTTCGTGGGAATCGTTGGCATCGGAGAATATTGCAAGGGAATTTCACCTAGAAGATATACAGCAACAATTGAATGAAAAATCATGCAGTAAGATAAATCCCACTTCACACTCTAGAGCACGCCGGTCAATGACACGACGTTGAGCCAAGAACCGTTAGAATGATTGGGTCGGGTAGCACGAAGGGGAGGAATTCTCACCGAGAAGCAGACTCACCGAGACCACTCACCCTAGTCACTCACCGAGAATGGAAAACTACCGCCCCATATTTAGGTTCGGGGCAAACCCAATGGCGCTAACCCTTTCAGGGCTAGAACGTCGCTTATTGAGAATCGCACAATCTTGTCGAATTTTCCCACCAGTTTCGAACTTTCTCAATCGTCGTCGTCTATTTTTCATCAACACCACCACCAAAACCTCGGCAGCCGGATTTTACGTGAACAGCTGGTTTGTCTCCTCTCCCTCCCGACAACACCGTCGCTCATTTTACGTTTTCCTCACTGTCTGCCAATTCAAGAGGCTAACCTGACGCCGTCACCGCAGTCAAAATGGGTGCCCTCAAGTATGTCGAAGAGCTCCAGAAGAAGAAGCAGTCCGATGTGATGCGCTTCCTTCTGCGTGTTCGCTGCTGGGAAGTACGTTGAAACCACCCGATTCCGAACCATGTGGACGCACGACAAGTCTCTACTCGTCTCTTCTGCCCCTCCCTGCCGATACCGATTGTCGAATTTTGATCAACCCTCTCATCACTTGGAGGGGTCTGATCTGTTCGAGAATTGGGAAGGCATCACGAGGGATGGTGGCATGGGTGCATCGAGAGGACTTTGCGTTCCTGCTATACACTCGTTGAACATTTGCTGAGAGTGCATCAATATAGCTCCGACAGCTGAATGTCATTCACCGCGCCTCGCGTCCCTCGCGCCCCGACAAGGCCCGCCGCCTCGGCTACAAGGCCAAGCAGGGCTACGTTATCTACCGTGTCCGCGTCCGCCGCGGAGGCCGCAAGAAGCCCGTCGCCAAGGGTGCCACTTTCGGTACGTTGAATCGATCCGTACGATGAACCATCACCCCCGCCGCAGAGCGGTCAGAGGGGTGTCGTCGCCGTCTAGAGGGGAAGAGATTGCTAACAGGATTGGAATCATAGGCAAGCCCACCAACCAGGGTGTCAACCAGCTCAAGTACCAGCGCTCCCTCGCCTCCACCGCCGAGGAGCGTGTCGGCCGCCGCTGCGCCAACTTGCGCGTCCTCAACTCCTACTGGGTTAACCAGGACTCGACCTACAAGTACTACGAGGTCATCCTCGTCGACCCCCAGCACAAGGCCATCCGCCAGGACCCCCGCATCAACTGGATCGTCGCCCCCGTCCACAAGCACCGCGAGTCCCGCGGCCTCACCGCCACCGGCAAGAAGTCCCGCGGCCTCAACAAGGGCCACCGCTACAACAAGACCCAGGCCGGCCGCAGAAAGACCTGGAAGCGCCACAACACCCTCTCCCTGTGGCGCTACCGGTAAACGGTTTCGTCCCGCAACGGAGGATTCCGCGGTTGACGTGGCGGTTCTCCCCGACGACAACATCATCGTCTCTTCAAAAACAACGGCGGCTGCCGGGTGTGGTGTTCACGGATTGCAAGGACACAAGGACGGCTACGGTGGATCGTCATCTTCATCATCATCATCATGGGTGGTACTCGGTATGCTGTTTCTTCGACGACAGCTTGGGAACGCACTTGATATCATGCGCTGGAGTGTTCTTCTCCCCCCGGTTTGAGACATCCGGGTGGAAAAATTCAAATCGATACGAAAAATGGAACAGACTTTTCGAGGTTCTTACAACGGCGGGCGTACAATGACGAGTAACGTGATTTGTGAAGAAACTTTTTTTTCTTCTCTTCTTTTCCCAACACTCCCGTCTCATTTCCCATTCGCCTTGTGATGCCTCGTAAAACCGACGCAATGTTACGGATAAAAGCCAATCACTATTTACTCGGCTTCCTCGTCGCGTCAATGTGATGTTCTTGGCCCGATCCGACCATGCTTGGGCGGCTTGCCCCAGCGTACACCGGTCTGCCAAACAGCTTACTTGGACGGGTCCTCGTGTTGCTATATCCAGGAGCAAAAGTGTTGCGTTGCCCCCCTTAAAAGCGGTTTGTTGAATACTCCATAGGACCGACCCTCGGTGTGGAAATTTTTTGAACAGGACTCCCCAAACTTGTGGGGGCGGGCGGACATGGATCGCCGGTTGGGATGGTTAAAGGGGCGGAGCACACTCTTCTCACTGCCACCTTTGGAACGATCCAGTTGACCACCGACGACACCGTACGGCCGAATCCCTTTTTTGGAACCAACTGTCACGAACTAGAATAAAAGCGCATGAAATTCTTCCTCGTCTAAGTGGGCTAGATAGCTTGATAATTACTGAATGTTTCTGTTGTCCCAGATCGTCCCCGCCTGTCCTGTTTCTTTGTAAAGTCTTGTCGCAGCTCATCAGTTTGTAGAAAGTTTTCTCAAATGCCAAATTCCCTGCCAAACACCGTACCGTCGTTATGGGTATTGTTTTCCCTACCCTCTGGGCCAAATTAAATAATCTTCAAAACGCCACAACCCTTGATCAATGGAGGATACACATTCTGCTGTATTAGGCCCGCCATCCCAACTGTTTGCCATTGATTATTAGTCTTTCTCCTTATGAAGAAAGGTCACCTCTCAGATTCCCTGCCGTACCCACACTCAGAAGCGCGTCATATCACTGACCTCGCTGTACTTGGTGAAGCGGGTGTTGCCAGTGTTCATGGGATGCAACGCGGTGGGCGGACGGTTGATCTCGGGCATGATAGGGCTGCGGCGGTCCTCATCCCAGCTCCTGTCGGAAGTGTGGCCCTGCTCGATGTCGGGCACGAACGGGCCGCTGATGTTGGGGCGCGCAGCGGTAGTGGTGTTGCTCTTGGTCCACGGAGTAGGGAACTTCTGTGTAAAGCGCTTGAACTTGTTCGGTTGCTTTTCATTGTGGATAGAGTTGCTCCGAACCGAGTAACCGTCGACGAGCGAGTTCTTGCCCGAGGCGAGCGTGCCATCACTGCGGATGTTACGAGCATTGATGCCGTTATGTCTGTCGCAGAAAACGATGGACGAGATAACGTTGAAGAAGCCGAACGTGATGGCGAGAATACCCGAGGCAAGGATGAGGCGCCACAGGGGCAAGCCAATGGTTTCGACGGAAAAGGCAGGGTTGGTGCTGTTGGCGAGCACTTGACAGCCCATGACGATCATGGCGATGCCGAGCCAGCTGAGGCCATGTTCGCAGGAGAGGGTCGGCCAGTTGCGCTCGAAATAGTGGCGGAAGACGTTCAGCTCCGAAATAATGAGGAAGATGGCGACAGAGAAGGTGAAGAAGTGCGAGGCGGAGACGAAGAAAGCGAAGTGGCCCTTGAGGATGGACATGACGATCATAACCCAGGCCGAGGCGCTCACGGCTAGGAGACCGATGATGTTAAAGGCCCGGAAGACGTTGAGGATCATGTGGCCGGAGCCGCGAAGGCTAGAGTTCTCGGAGAGGTTGAACATCTTGGGAGGCTTATTGTGGTCGCAGTTCGCGCACTCTCCGCAGCAGGGTTTCTTTGGTTTCGGTCTGGAGGAAGAAGTCGTAGAGCCCTGGACAGCTGCAGGGGTCGACCGGACTGAATATGGGTGAAGTGAGGATTCTGAAGGCATTGTTAGCGAGGAGTTCGTCGTCCAGGAGAGGCGAGGTATCTAACATGCGAGTGAGTAGCTGACGGTGAGCTCGATGACGATAAGGCTAATAGCAAGTTCTCAGTCTTACCAAGCAGACTGAGAAATCCAAAGGAGCGGTGGTGGTCCCTGGGTATCGAGGGTGTTTGGTCTTATTTGCGATTATGAGCCAGGTAAGAAATGATGCCGGAAACCAGTCCAGCAAAAGGTAGTGATATAGGGAAAGTATAGAGAGCTTCACAATGAGAGAGAAGGATTGTAAGTGAACAAGATTAGTAGATGCCAAGAGACGAAGTCAGTTGTTCACGACTGTTCAGTGGAAGGAAGGTAGGTGAGGAAGAGAAGCGCCTGCCACAGGACCGAGGGTAGGCTCAGGGAGGTTCGACGTCAAAGGAAGGAGGCCCGGGCCTCCTTCTTTAATATAAGCAGCACTCCAAGCGTTCCTGCCTTATCAAGCTTAAAGAACATGGCTCAAAAAGAACAATGCAGGACAGGTACAGGACAGGCAGGGTTGCTGTTCCCACTCAGCACGTCACCCGAAAATTGTCTCGTTGCCATCGGGAAGGCGAGAGCAGGCCCAGGTCTGGTTTGGCCGAGGAGCCACCTGGCGGCCGTCCTCATTCGTCGTTTCGCATTAAATACAAAAAGTTTCGAGCAACTAGCAGCCAGTCGTTTTGGCAGTGCGGAGGGGCTATCAAGGCTGGGATGCGTCGGTGGGGGACAAGAGAACGGAAGGGGAGGGGGCGGAGACGATGGAGTGTTCAAAGCTTCTCCTACGGACGACTTGGTCAATCTGTCGATGTCCCTGGCATTACGAGGACTGGGCTACGGGGGTGTGGGATGCGGGATGGTGAGGGAGACGTGGGAGGCTCGAACAGCGGCGGCAGCGGAAGCACTTGTCTTCCCTGTGGCTGAGGTTCCACGCGATACTAAGCGGCGGCGTCCAGACGCCGTTTCAAGGCGGGCGCCCTAGTCGAGCACTTGCAGTCCTAGATAATTAGACCAGGGATATCTGTCAGTCATCTGGTGCTTGGCTACGATACGACTCGCACGGGTCGGGCAGCGGTGGCCTGCAGCATGTGAGTGAGCGCATTCTCATCGTGGAGCCGCTGATGCCCTGTAGCTCTCGACAGTCGATGCAGATCCACCCCTCCCGATGCTCATCAAGAGCGAAGACGAGACGAAGAAGAAAAGGGTCTGAAGGGCCAAGGCTACTCCGTACCAGTGGTATGAACATGCCGTGGGTCATTTTCGTCCAATGGTGCGCTAAGAGTCGGATCGCTGCAGCACTCGTTAAGGGACGCGGCCCAGATGATCCTATGAAAGGGCGGCAAAAATGCAAAGCAGGAGGCGAATGTTCAAGCATTAAGGCCCAGACGTTGGAAGTATACTACTGTAACAAGCCGGGGGGGGGTGGGGGGGGGTGGCATAGGCCAATAATAGGGTAGGGTAAAGGCAGATAGATTGTGGTCGCGCGGAAGTTGCAAACATGTTGGCAGTCGAAAGTGGAAGGGACGACCCAGATTCTCAGTTCACGGGCCCGGCGCCGAATTGATTGGATGATGGGCGACGACGCTTTGTTTCATGCGGGTTTACCTAGTAACGACAGCCGCCAGCCAACACGTCAGGCACAGAGGGACTGCTGGCAGACCCCTGCCGATGCCAGGACTACCGATTCGCTACAGGGCGCGGATGGGCTGGACAATGCAACGATTAGTGTGAGCGGCAAGGCAAGGTACATGCAGATATGCGCCGCTTGGATTGGGGCACTTGTACGGATACCGTACTGTACTGTCTCGGTCTCCCGAATGCGATGGGGTCAACCCTGAATCTTTTTGGGGTTCTCGCGCCATACCGATAATAATTCAAGAGCACAAGAGATAACATCTCATCCTTTCGCAAAGCAAACTGAGATAGGTATCCAATGCGGTCCAGGGTGTCCGTATGGTAGCGAGCGTAGAGATGGTGACTTTGGCAAAGCCAACGTTCAACTTCGCTACCGTCTTGGGAGTCATGGCAAGCAGCATGACGATGACAATTCGTCTTGGCTATTGCTGGCGATAAGTCTAACTGAGTAGCACATCCCCGTCAACTTCCAGTCAAGTTGGATCAAGTCCCTTGCGGTCAGATATGGTCCTGGAGGATGCCAAATATCTCGGCCGAGGCACCTAATCAGATGTGAAGCACAACACCGAGCATCTGAACTGACCTCGGTTCCATTGGCGAGAACCATTGATCCGTGGCCATAACTCACCGTGCTTCCGTCTGGTATCCATCCGAGGTGGACATCAAGTGTCACCCAGACGCCATGATCAAACGGAACTCGATCGTGAAACCCCAAAATAGAATGAACAACCCAAGCGGTCGTGCCTCAAGGGTCCGCTTTCGCATCCAAGTGATTTGTAAACCGGAGAGATCCCGATACCTGCTGGAAGGTCGCCTAATAAGCGCCCACCACATGCCATTTGTTCTTGACCTATAATGCCATTTCTAGCCCGTGCCTCGCCCTTCAAGGTCTTAACTTGGATACGAAGAGGTGTAACCGCCCAGCAAGTAATATCGGCTCATCACGCTCGTCTATTTGGGGCCGCGTCCAGCCGCGGTGCCTGTCTACTCGAAAAAAAAAAAGGTAAGCTTAAGCGCCAGCACCGCCTCGATGGCCGGGCCTAGCTTCGCGGCAAGATGTTGCTTTTTTGTAATATTGCCATTGAGCAGCAGAACAGCAAGCCGACTCTGAATGCTTTAAAAACCTGCTGATATCCCCGCGAAGCTCACTTCCAGCCTTGTCTCTGTAATAAACATTGTTCAGCGCACCCGCACATGTTTTTTTTCTGCATCTTTTATTCATCGACAACTCTCCATAGAAAGATTCCAAAGCCAAGTCTTCTGGCGGGTTGATCGGAGTTACCAGTGCCTGACTGGCCTTGGGTGCATATGCATTATGCCAAACCGGTGGGTGGGTCAATTGGACTTCTTCACAGTTTGCGGAACAATGGAGTTGGAGTTGAAACCGTACCGACGAGGAAAAAGGAAAGCAGAAAACAAAAGGTCTGGGTTGTCCTCTGGGGTTCATTCAGAGATGTGTCTTTGGAAAGCTGGCTAGCATATTTGTAGTCTCGTGCTGGCTCCACGTCACCATTGTGAAGCTACAAAACCAGTGCTTCTCAAGAAGAAAAAAAAAAAAAGGTTGCTTGCAAGCGATACAGAGATAAGACAAAGGGGTGTCAGCATTATCAGTTATTAAGCCAACTGAACTGAAGTTAACAATCTACCAAGCTACCTAAGCTACCTAGCTACAGTGCTGGGTCATTAGTATTTGAACAGCAATAATGAGGACCAATCAACCAGCTAGACTTCCTCCGTGCGGTCCACACTTATAAGGAACTTGCACCGAAATATCATAATAACCGATTTACTTAGCCCTGGGTTATGTGAGACCGGCATCATGTGACCCTTATTGCTGTTCAAAAACTAATGACCCAGCACTGTACCTACCTGGCACCTAGGTAGGCACCTGAAAGGAATTGCTTCTCCCTTTCCCTGGGTCATGGTCTGTGCGTATAAAGCACGTGACCCCAGGTCCTGCTTCTGCCGCCCGTCAGCCTCAGCTTGTCTTCGAGCAATGGACAGACGACCCGACGTCAATCAATCTCTTCGACAAAATTGTTGCCGATCGGGCTTCTTTCCCTTACCCGCCACGGCAGTATACGACGGTTTTTTCCCTACTCACAAAACGCAAAACGCATACAATCGATTTGCCAGTCGCCAAATCCTCTCTTCGCCCTCACTGATTTCTTCCATCGCTGCGACAGCATCCTCGTGACTGCCCAACTGCCACTTCCATTTGCTCTTTGTCTTGGTCATCTTCGCGACGCGCCCATACGCTCGCCCGAATCAACGAGCTTCTCGTTGCAGTCCACAAGCGATCGCGATAGCTTTCCATCGGATGATGTCGTGACGGCGTCCTTGCTATCTGCTTGGATCTGGTTGGCTTGTGCTGCGGAGGACTTGAGCAGAGAGAGGGTCTGGACACGAGAATTGGAAACTGCAAAGCGGCCCTTCCCAGTTTAGGTTATCAACCACGTCTCTTGTTCAAAGAAGCAGACGGGCGCGCTTCCATAATAAGGGTGGTTTCTTGTACTTTCAATCGTATACGGTGAAGGAGGCTTGACTTTGGTCGAGGACGATCTGAATCTTCCCCGCTGCCACTGCGTCTTCGTTTCTCGGCACTTGTCGCTCGCCATCGCGTGCTCTTGACAGACGACTATTTCATTCTTCTTCTTCTTCGTCAGGACTTTCGTCGACCAAGAACAGTTGGCAACCATGTCATACGAATCGTCCGCCGCCGAGGTTGCGGAGGACTACCGTCAAGCTCTCGAAGACTTGACTACCAACGTGCGCTTCGAAATCAGCAATCTGACGATGATTGCAAGAGAGCAGACCGAGCATGCCCAGGTCATCTCTGAAGTTTTGCAGGACCACATTTTGAAGGTAGGCCATGCTCCCCATTACTTCCTGGCGGCAGTACACGCACCGTCTATGTCCTTGTGCCAAGCAACGATGCCTGAAGCTGCGAACCTTTCGCTACCAAATGACTTGACTAATGCTGACATGTGCCGCAGGCTCCAGCACACAAGAAGCTACCAGCCCTCTACGTTCTCGATTCGATCGTTAAGAATGTCGGCACTCCATACACGCTGTTCTTTGGAGCCAAACTATACACGACATTCATGGAGGCGTACGCCGCTGTGGACGGTCAGGTTCGCCGCAAGATGGACGAGATGCTTCGTACCTGGAAGGAGCCAGTCCCAGGATCTCTCGACAAGCGCCCAGTCTTTGCCCCCGAGATAACGCAGCCCATCGAGAATGCCTTGTTGAAGGCTCGTACATCGGCTCTTCAGGCCCAACAAGGGCGAGGGGCCGGTCGCGGTCGACCGCCTGCTGCGCCCTACCGCGAAACCCCGACACCCCCAGGCATACGACCTGGAGCGGCCCAACAGATGCCCTTTGGTCAGCCGCCGCCTGTGCCGCAGGTGAACGGTAACCGGCCCCCAAGCGCACCGCTGCCGCATCACCCGCAAATGGCTCCTTACGCGGTTAGTCTTTCTCATTCTCATGACAACTGAACACCAGATACTGACCCAAGCCATAGCCTCCCCCGCCGTCATACAGTGCTCAGCCCTCAGCGGCCCCAGGCCCTTACCAGCCCCCTACGCAGATGCCGTACGCGACTGGACTCTCGGGTCCGCCTCATGCTGCTGGAATAAGCAAAGACTCTCTGGGTCAAGATATCCAGAAGTTGATTGATGCGTCGAAGTTGGAGTTTGCGCAGAACCCCCATGATCATAGTATTCAACAAAGACTCAAGGCGTTGCTGGATGTGCAGAGCTTGCTACAACACCAGAACTTGCCCCAGGACCAGTTAGTCCTGATTAAGAATCAAGTAGCCGATCTTGCTGTAAAAGTGAGGCCGTTCTCGGCCCAGAGCGCAACCCCTGCCGCAACACCCGTCCCCTCTCATCCACCGCCGCCTCCTGCGGCGCCTGTAGTTACATCTGGACCACCGCAGCAGCCTGGTGCGGTGACGCTTGATGCCCTCTTGGGCCAAGGAGCTCTTGCTGCATTGTTGTCGAGACAGTCAGCCACACCGCAGGTTGCCACGCCCCCACCTCCATCTGCCAGCATGGCGATTCGGTCTCCCCCGCCGCAAAAGGTTGAGCCGTATCGACAGCCCAGTGCGACGCCGGCGGCAGATCCCATGGCTTTGCTGGCCGGCTTACGACAAGCCGGGCTGCTTCCCGGGCCAGCCCCGAGCGCAACTCCAACACCGGCGCCTCCTCCAGGTCCGGTACCGCCTCCTGGAATGCCCATGTTGCCTGCTGGCTTGCTGCCTCCTAATCTTGCAAGCTTGCTAGCATCAGGTCAACTGCCACCGCGTCCTCCCCTCGGAGGCATGCATGGCAACCAGCTTGACGCCACGGCTCTTAAACAGCAGTGAGTGATCTCTAGGGCGAGTTTTCGTGAGGTCCACGAGCACTAATGATTTGCAGATTCCAGCCACATCTGATCCCGTCCATGTTTGATCAGCTGGGTCCCCAGTGTACTCAGTGCGGCAGACGATTCAAGACGGACGAGGAGGGCAGAAAGAAGAAGATGGCACACATGGACTGGCATTTCAAGGCTCATCAACGGCTTGCGGAAGCAGAGAAGAGGGGTCAGCATCGCAGCTGGTACGTCGACAGCAATGTAAGTTACCAAGGTCGGTGCCAAGCATGGTTGATGTCTAACACGAGGCAGGACTGGATCAAGTCACGAGAAGCTATCGACGTCGACCATGTCCAATCAGCAGACAACTCATCATCTAGTCCTGGTCGGGCGAAGAAGGAGGCCAAGCCTCGATACATCCCAGTGCCGGACGCCTCGAGCGGTATCAACAGCATCTGTCCAATTTGCCAGGAAAAGTTCGAGAACAAGTGGTTAGACACCGCCCAGGAATGGGTTTGGTTGGACACCACGCTGGTAGGCAACCGAGCATACCATTATAGTTGTCACTCGGAAGCGACACAGGCTAGGGAGAGCAAGCCGCCATATTCGAAGGGAACGCCCGAGCGGTTGCTGGGTAAACGCAAAGCAGAGGTGAGTTTGAATGAGCGTAGGCCGTTACGAGCTCAGACTGACAATGCCAACAGGGTGACTTGAAACATTCGCGTGGAAGGATGAAGAAAGACAAAGACGCACTGAAATGGCCCAAGACGGAACTTGATTACTAGCAGTATATCCAGTAAGCAGACGAAAGCCTTTTCGAAGGCATGATGGCTTCGCGCAGAAACGTTGGATCGTACTGAAGAGCTCATTGTGAGCCATCACTACCTCATCACCCTGCGAGACACGCCTCTCGAAAGCATTACGCGGTGCCAAGCCGTGAATGCTGGGCTCGTGACGAATCGTGCGACCCCAAAGCGGCGAGGCGTGTTGGAAATCTCCCTCCCTGAATACAGGGTTGCCAAAACGTCCAGGCAACAGAAAGGAAAAAAGAAATACAACGGAGTCGGTCAAAGGCGGGGGGGGGGGGTTGTGTTGATCGTGGGGGGAAAGAGATCAGCACGCACGGAACACCGGGGAGCGGATACCAATGAAGCATGGTGAGGCTCCGTTGGTCGGAGCTGCCGGGGCGAATGATCGGCAGACGAGCTTCGGTATGGCAGTCAACATAGGTGCTTGGCAAGGCTAGGCCGCATCAGCGGAGATAGCGTGTTCGTCCAACATGCGAGGGAGATGGAAAAGAAGGCAAGCCGGAGGCGGGCTGGGAGCACACCGCAACACCGTACAGGTGACAGCGAAGCAAGCATCAATGACCGCCTGGCGGACTGCCCACATGGGTACGCATGCATTTTTATCAAGTAGCATCGCGTGGCTATCATAACAAGCCCATTAATACATAGTAAAACGGACAAAGCCCCGAACCGAAGCTAGCGGTGGGCTCGTATGCAGCGCTGGCAGCGGAACTAGGGGAACGAGTCTTGTTGCATCGCATCAGTGTTGAAAACGGAGTTACGCCTCATGATTTCTGATATGCTTCTCCACAGGAGCTCCTAGTGATGCATATTGTTCCCGGGTTGTGAATGCGTATCCACAGTCTAGACTCTGCGCTAGACACACAATCCTTGGCGGTCTTCCTCGCGAGAGAAACCGGTGGTCTGAATCCGCCGGTCCAGCAGCAAAGGTAGTAAGTGGGGGTGAGTGAGTAAGGTGGCGGGCCAAACCGGCCAGTCCTGGGGGTCCATTTGGTCTGGGTGGACTGACAAAACCACTGTTGTTTCCAAGTCGTTCTCGTGGTTTATCCAAAACTATCTACCTAGTGTGGGGTGGGATATACAATGGTATCCGGCCGAAGTTAATTACCCCTGTTAGGTAACTAATGTTCACCCCCCTACTGCAGGACTTCACTTTTGGTGAATATTCCCCCTCTACTATGATATCAGCTGTGGGGGGTAACATCATAGGGGTAATTAACTTCCCCCTGCCACCCTGTAGAAAAAAGTCCGGGGCAGCATTGGGCGACGATTGGGTCGCATGGAGCGCGGGAGAGAGAGAGAGAGATGGGGGGATGTGGAGAAAATCTGGTGGTTCCCAATGACGAACGACCCCGACGTGGAACGAACGCAGGCTTCTACACTAGCACCAGCAATACGGTACGGTGGAGAATGATGGTGATGATGGACTTGCAATGCTGAGGAGGCAAGACAGTGTACTCCGTACATGTTGTGTTTAATCCATTTAGGTACCGGTAAGACCTGGTTTGGGGGGGGGGGGGGGGGGGGGAGAAACGGTGGATGCCCACACGCCCCCCCTTCCCGGACCACCATATTTGGCTTCCCGAGGTCTGGTACCGAGTTGCATGTTCCCCTCGGTGGCGTCTTACACTTCATGTCTTGCAGGGGGCTGCTGTGTTCTTGTTCCAAACCACCTACAGTTCGGTATGTTCTCTTTTATCCCGAGTTCACCGGTTAAACTGGTTGGGAGGTTCATGTTGAACCCGTTGTTCGCTCAAGTAAGCTGCTTGCAAGTCGTGCCCGCTGGACTGAAGGGATCTGTATGAATGCAGAGGTCGGATCTGGAAGAGGACAGGATGGGTGAGAAAGAAGGTGAGAGGAACTGTGCTGGCCACTGGTGTAATACAGGTATAATGCCCCGATTCTTGCTCAGAAAGGCAGCTTAGGGTTCACGGCCACTAGAGGGGGATGTACAAATGGTCGGTCGTGAAATCAGAGGAGCCATTTCCACCACCAGGGCTTTCCGTCCTCCGAGTGACAGCCAACGCTTCTTCTGGAACCTTGTTGGGGAGAAGGACATTGTCACGGCGGGGTCGGATTTCCATCCCCTTCTTCCGGACGGCGACGGCGGGGATGTCGGGATTGAGATTCAACATGCTATGTGCACCTCAGTCGTGCTGTCGAAGCATTGATTGGGGCTTTTGGAACCTTTGGGGCCTAGACGTCCTGGGACCTACCCTGCTTTTCCAGCTGTTTCCAGGTTCCCCGGGCACCCCTCCCGGTTCTGTCTTCAAGCATGTCGCCCCCGCCGTCTGCCACCAGCTTGGAGTTCCCCAATGCCGGCCAGATCTACATCATCCAACAGCAAAGGAGCAGGTGCATGTGCAGAGGCAGAGAAACAATCATCAGCTGTTCCCTATACCGAAGAAGCAAAGTCCCCAAGTAGTAAGCATGTTGTTGATGTAGGTACATGTAGGTAGTGTACGGGTACGATGTACATAAACTAGGTACCTGAGTACCTACATACACTAGGAAGTTAATGTCGTTGTTAATTGCCCCTCCACTACCCTCCATCCCGTTCGTACTTAGGCGTTGCCCCATGTTGCGAGGGTGAGCCTGGTTGGACCCCCGCACGGCGCTTGGAGCCAGAGCTTTCGCACACCCCGAACAGCTCTTTTCCTCTTCCATTTTCTCCCCAATTGTTTTTATCTTTTTTTCGCCATCCACGCGTCGGGACGGAGTCTTGTCTTCCTCCTGCATCATGTGCAAGCAGTCTATACCGAGTGGGGTAGCTAGCTCTTGTACCTCTCCCATCCTTACCCCACTCGATGGAGGGGCAAAGGAGGTCCAGGTCCTGGGCGGACACCATACCATACACGGACTATACCACACCGGTGCGGTCGCTCACTCATTTCACTCAGCTCAGCGCAAAAGCACACGCTCGCTCTCTGCACCACATCCCTTTTGTCACAGGAATAAGGATGAAGGGTGTGGTGTGTGCCGATAGGAGGTCAGTCAGCACCGGTTGACTGGACGTCCGCCTGCCTACCTTCCTGGTCGAGTCGAGGTGCTCTTTCTTAAAGCAGAGAGCTCCCCTTCATTCCCCTTGTTGATCAACAGAAACCTCTGCGTCTTCCCAGGAGCTCTACTTTCTCGTCCTTCTGCGTCCTTATCCTGCTGTAGATTCTGCTGTCAATTGACGCGAGACGATACGCCGTCGGTCTCCCCTTCGTTGCGTGGTTAAATAGAGCTCTGTTCGTACGTGACGTTCCTGGCGTTGCACACCGCGCATCATGGAGTAAGTTCTGTTGTTACACCAAGCCCATTACCACCGCGCCTTCGACCCTTCGGTTTGGAAACGTTTCGTGAGGACGCCTAGAAGCTGATAGTCCTCCCCAGGCCTCCTCAGTCCACCGCACCACCTCAACTTCTCGTGAGTTCGGCCGATTGGACCTTGCTCGTTACTGTGTTTGGTAGAGACGCAGTCCATTGACTCGAAGCAATTGACCAGGACCACTACGTCGGAATTGACGTCGGCACTGGATCGGCCAGAGCATGCATTATCGACGAAACTGGCGACATCAAGGGCCTTGCCAGCGAGCCCATAAAGCTGTGGCAGCCCGAGACTGGGTACTATGTAAGCTTCCCTTGGCATCTCGCCTACTCTCTGCCTCTGCGAGCCCTGCTGACGCCTCCCCTCCCCACCAGGAACAATCGACTTCGGACATCTGGGCGTGCATCTGCCACTGCGTGAAGCAAGTCCTCAACGAATCCAAGGTCGACCCAGACAAGATCAAGGGCATCGGCTTCGACGCTACATGCTCCCTCGCCGTCTTCAGCCACGACACGGATGAGCCCGTTGCCGTGACGGGGCCCGACTTTGATAACGCCGACGGCAACGACCGCAATGTTATCCTCTGGCTCGACCACCGGCCCGTTGAGGAGACGGAGAAGATCAACGCCACTAAGCACAACCTACTCAAGTACGTCGGCGGCACCATGAGCATTGAGATGGAGATCCCAAAGGTCCTCTGGCTCAAGAACAACATGCCCAAGGAGCTCTTTGACCGCTGCAAGTTCTACGATCTCGCCGACGCCCTCACCCATCTGGCTACTGGTAACGAGACGCGGAGCTTCTGCAGCACCGTTTGCAAGCAGGGCTACGTTCCCGTCGGCGTCGACGGCAGCGTCAAAGGTTGGCAGGAGGATTTCCTCACCACCATTGGGCTCGAGGATCTCGTCAAGGACGATTTTAAACGTCTTGGCGGTGTCAACGGGGTGGTGAGCCTATTTCATTGAACCCTCCCTCTTCATTTCCCTTTGCGAGCAAGAGACAGAAAGGGAGGCCAGTTGACTGACCGGAAACAGAACGGAAAATACCAGAGCGCCGGAGAACTTGTTGGCGTGCTCTGCAAGAAGGCCGCCGCTGAGCTCGGCCTTCCCGAGGGCATCTCCGTCGGCGGTGGTGTGATTGACGCCTACGCCGGCTGGATCGGCACCGTCGGTGCCAAGGTTGAGCTCCCCCCGGGCCATCTGGAGGCGGACCAGCCTAAGAACGATCTTTCTCAGGCGTTCCACAGACTCGCCGCGGTCGCCGGCACCTCGACCTGCCACTTGGCCATGTCCAAGGAGGCCGTCTTCGTGCCCGGTGTCTGGGGCCCATACCGTGACGTCCTGCTGCCCGACTTCTGGATGGCCGAGGGGGGCCAGTCTGCCACCGGCGAGCTTCTCCGACACATAATCGAGATCCACCCTGCTTTTATCGAGACGAACGCACTTGCGATGGCCGAGTCGAAGAACATCTACGAATTCCTCAACGCCCACCTGGAATACATGCGGGAGAAGAGCGGCGCGCCCTCGATCTCGTACCTGGGCCGTCACTTCTTCTTGTACGGCGACCTGTGGGGTAACCGATCACCTGTCGCCGACCCCAACATGAAGGGCGCCGTCGTTGGGCTGAGCAGCGACAAGACCACGGACAACCTAGCGCTGTGGTACTACGGCACGATGGAGTTCATCGCCATGCAGACGCGCCAGATCGTCGAGGCAATGAACACGGCCGGTCACGAGCTCAACACCATCTTCATGTCCGGCAGCCAGTGCCAGAACCCGCTGCTCATGAGCCTCATGGCCAGCATCTGCGACATGCCAGTGCTGGTGCCGCGGTACACCAACGCGGCGGTCGTCCACGGCGCGGCCATGCTAGGTGCCAAGGCGGCGACGGCGGCCGAGGACGGCTCCACGGAGGACCTGTGGTCCATCATGGACCGTATGAGCAAGCCTGGCAGGCTCGTCAAACCCGGCACGCTCAAGGGTGAGAAGTTCCTGTTCGACGCCAAGTACCGTGTGTTCCTGGAGCAGTGCAAGACGCAGCAGGATTACAGAAAACAGGTCGACGCCGCTGTGGACCAGTGGCTCAATGAGTGAAGCGTACCAGGCCGGGATCCATGACCGATAGACGGTTTAGACGGTTGACGACATTTACGGGGTGTTGGACGTATGGGTTTATGATTGCTTCGCCGGACAAGGTTTGTACGAGGAGTTGCAGGGTAATTTTAAGAGCCATTCTTTAACGAACATGAGAAAGACTTTCTTCCACTTCTTTCCTTTTCTTCCGTCAACAAATTGTCAATCCCGCTGTGGTCGGTTCGATTGCCTCGGTTCAATGCATGTCTGTGGCGAAAGAGCAGTGAAAATTGGGGTAGGTTTGCGGACCAGCCACTTGTTTTCCCTCCCGTTGTCTCCTAATCAACGGGTCGAGGAAGGCAAGCTGTATCCGTAGCGAGCACACGTGCCTGTAACCATGGCAGCTGATAGGGCAATTGGAGGTGCGCTTCGCAGCGGGACAGTGGAGCTTGCGGCGCTGGGACGGGAGGCCGGTGGGGCCGTTAGAGCAGCTCGTCAGATGCGAAAAGCCCGCCCGCAGGGAAACCGACTGACTGCTGAACTCCTCGCTTCTCGAGAACTAGGCAAGCCGGTATTGTCCTAACGAAATCACATCGAGAAATACATCTTGGGTGAAAAACAAGCAAAACAAGAGTACGTCGTTAGGTAAAGAAGGAAGCGCCGGAAGGACAACCCCTCGTCCGAGCTTTTCTGTCCATCGCGAGGCAAGACTGGTATCCGTACCTTTGCCGACATCATCCTGCTGCACCCAAAGCTTGTTTTTTTTTTTCCTTCTTCCACGACACCCACCACACCCACGCCCCCGCTCCGATTCGATCGACTATTTCCATCGTTAGACCTGTCGCCGCACTTCTCGTCTTCGGTACACAATCCTCCAGGGAACAAATCGATCGAGCAGACCGCGCCCTCCTTATCATTGCCTCCCCGATCTTGATAACCACCTACCGCCGCCATGCGTTTCGGAAAGACGCTGCGGCAGGCCGTCTATGCGCCGTGGAAGGACAAGTACATTGACTACGCGAAGCTCAAGTCCTTGCTGCGGGAGGACAAGTACGACGAAGACGACGTCGCTTGGACCGAGAACGACGAGAGCCGCTTCTGCGACGAGATCTTCAACGGCCAGCTCGAGAAAGTCGCCAAGTTCCAGGAGGAGACCTTCGAGACCTTGAAGCGCCGTATCGATGCGGCGTTTGAGAAGCTCAAGGAGCTGGCACCGCCGCCCAGCGAGGAAGAGGATGGCGCGGAGAACGCCCAGGTCAAGAAGCCTGACGCTGCGACCGCTGCAAAACTGAAGGACATCGAGACGGAGCTCGACAAGATCACGACCGAGATCTCGGAGCTAAAGAAGTACAGCAACATCAACTACACGGGGTTCCTCAAGATCGTCAAGAAGCACGACCGCAAGAGGGGTGATAGGTACAAGGTGCGGCCCATGATGCAGCTGAGCCTGTCGCAGCGGCCCTTCAATTCGGAGCAGAGTTACTCGCCCCTGCTCAACAAGCTGTCCATCATGTACTATGCCATTCGGCAGCAGCTGGACGACGGCGCCACCGACCAGCAGCCGCTGGATCTGGAGAGCCAGGGCGAGACGCGCCGCGGCGAGCGGTACACAGCTCACAAGTTCTGGGTCCACCCGGACAACCTGCTGGAGGTGAAGACGTACATTATGAGACAGCTCCCGGCCCTTGTGTACAGCGAACAGTCGGCCAAGGAACTAGACGGTAGCAACGACCCGACCATCACCTCGCTTTACTTCGACAGTCCCAAGTTCGATCTCTACAGTAAGAAGGTGGAGCGCAAATCGGAGGCCTCGTCGCTGCGCGTCCGGTGGTACGGCCAGCTGAGTTCGAAACCCGAGCTGTACTTCGAACAGAAGATCGTTGGCGAGAACGGATCGAGCGAGGAGCGCAAGTTCGCCATCAAGGACAAGTACATCAAGCCCTTCATCGACGGCACTTACAAGATGGAGAAGACGGTGCAGAAGATGGAGCGCCAGGGTCAGCAGGCCGAAGATATCGAGAACTTCAAGAGCACGGTCGAATCTCTGCAGGGCTTTGTCCAGGAGAACAAGCTGGAGCCCGTCCTACGCGCCAACTACGTCCGTACGGCGTTCCAGAAGCCCGCCGACGACCGCGTGCGCATCTCCATCGACACCGAGGTCGCCTTCATCCGTGAAGACACGTTGGACAAGAGCAGGCCATGCCGCGACCCGGCGGACTGGCATCGTTTCGACATCGATGGCCGGAATCTGACCTACCCGTTCAAGGACATCAACCAGAGCGAGGTCTCGAGGTTCCCATACGCCATCCTCGAGATCAAGCTGAAGGAGGATTCCAGCCGCAAGCGCCCCGAGTGGATTTCGGACCTGATGGGATCTCACCTGGTGCACCCAGCCCCCCGCTTCTCCAAATTCGTACACGGCGTCGCCTCGCTATTCGAAGACTACGTCAACAACCTGCCCTTCTGGCTGACCGACCTGGAGGCGGATATCCGCAAGGACCCCCAAGAGGCGTTCGAGGCTGAGGAGCAGCGCAAGGCTCAGAGAGCCGAGGACGAGCAGGCCGTGGGCAGCTTTCTGGGCACCAAGATCAGCTCCTACAAGGTGTCTAAGAGCTCTCCGGCCGGCAAATCGTATCTCGCGGACAGGATGGCCGCCGAGCCCAGCTCCCGCCCGAAGCCCTCCGAACGCCAGTCCCAGCAGAACGGCAACGGGTCCTCGGATCAGCAGCCAAGGAGCTACGGCACCCTTTCGTCCGTCCTCCCGGGCTTCTCGCTGTCCAAGTACTCCAAGGCCAAGCGGGCGCAGAAAAACCAGCAGCAGCTGCCCGAGGGCGTCGTCGAACCGACCGAATGGATCAAGAACTCGGGCGAGCTGAAGATCGAGCCCAAGGTTTGGCTGGCCAACGAGCGCACGTTCCTCAAGTGGCAGCATATCTGCATTCTGCTCGGCGCGCTCGCCGTGTCGCTGTATACGGCCGCCGGGGAGAACTTCCTGGCCGAGGTCATGGGCATCGTGTACATCGTCATCGCCGTGTTTGCTGGAGTTTGGGGCTATGGCATGATGCGCCTGCGGAGGAAGATGATTATCGCCCGCAGCGGCAAGGATTTCGACAACCTCATTGGCCCGCTGATCATCAGCATCGCGTTGATGGTTGCGCTGGTGTTGAACTTCGTGTTTGCCGTAAGTGTTGCGTCCTGGTTCTTTTTGCCTGTGGTTTGCTCTAATCGAGTGTCGACCGCTAACCTGACATCTAGTACCGCGCCGCCGTCGAGAAGATGGAGTCCAACGACGTGCTTGGCGGTGGTAATGTCACCGGCGAGCCGTTCCGCCAGGAACTCATCTAGAAGCAACTGTGCCGAAATATCGGTTGAGGTGAGCCAGAGCGAGCGCTGGCGAATTGTTTCCTTTGTATGGGTGTATTATTTTTGAGCATGAGCTTGGCTTGGTGTGCTGCGTTGGACCCGGTTCTTGCCCTCCTTTTGGTATTGAATGCGATGCCCGCTTAGAGTAGAGGCGTTGCCGTGTATTAGTGTAATCATAGCGTGAAGAGGAGTAGTGGTATCAAAAGCTGCACGAGGTTCAGAGGCGACATGTCGATTGCGTATCCCCCCCCCCCCCGCGCCCTCCGTCCCGTGGCGGTCGACGAGATGGTTCTCTCTCCCCTGCTGCCCGGGACCATTTCAACGACGAGGAGAGGCTTGAAAAGTCTTGCCTTGTCCTCCTGTCTTTTTCGCATGCTGCTTGACAATATGAACTGCCCTCCAGTACGACCATGGCCGCGTCTTCTTCCCCTTCGACGGATACCGCTGTCTTGATGATCAGCGTCTGGAGAATCGGCGTGGCGACGCACAGGCAAGGGGCCGTCGATGTCGAACCGACATTATGAGAAGCCCCCAATCCTACCCAGGCACGACCCGGGGTGCGGCAAGTGGGCGGGCTTCCGCACCATCGACGAGAAGACAGGCGTCAAGCGGCACACCAACCTCGCCAAAGGGTATACCGTCTTTTCGAGGAGCGTTGACGAGGCCGAGTCCTCTTAAGCTTTAAGCTCTACTGGTGTGGCCTGGGCCCTCCCTGCCTGATCTTGCCTATGGCGTGTCTGTGATATATCTAGAGGCCAACAGCAATGATTCTGCGATCTCGGACCTAGAATGGAGGTGTCTTGTTTGGCCGAACACAGACCTCTTTTGTAGCCTCCAAGAGCCATTTAGTCTCCCTCGAGGCCCTGGGCGCCCACGGGTGAACATTCCCGAGCTCTGCCGTCTCGGCAGATAGATAGTGCGTTGCCCACCATGTTGAAAAAAATGTAGGAGGATACATGGAAACTCGGTCAACATATCGTCTTGAAAGGGATTGTGGAAGGTTCATGATTCGGCTTGCATTTTGTCCAGTCTGTGTTGAGGGTCTTGTCATTCGGCACTGCAGATACAGAAGAATGTGTTGGAGGGATCTCGTATAGAGACTGCCTAGCCTCGATGAAGAGCAGTCTTCGAGAGGGCCATTCCTCGCCACCTCACTTTGACACTGTACATGGGCGTGTGTTTCCGTTCATGTATACATAATGAATACACATTGGTTATGCCATCGTTCCAGATCCAGCCTAGGGCCCCGCTCTTGTATCCAACTTAACACCAACTCACAACCTTGAAGTAGTCATCAAGGCCGCTGTCGAGAAAGGCAAAATTCGAGAGAACAAAGAAGCACCCGCATTCTGCTGCTGTCTGGGCTCTCCAGCTTTTACGGACGTGTCCAATCGTGTATACTCACGAACGAGCAGGACTGATACGGGGGTGTGTGTCGTCCCAGAGTATCACTGTGCCTCTCAACGCCAACCTGTATGGTCAACCTAAACCCATCACTTGGCCATACGAAACAAGCCCGCCAAGGCCGGAATATGTCGATTGGCTCTGTCGATACACTACGAACAAACCGAGCGACGACTTGCCAATCGGTGCAAGGTGTACGGCGAATGCTGACTTTCTCACGTTCGTTACCCGTGTAGCCTTGTGTTCATATCACGAACTGTCTCAGAGGGGGAAAATGTCGCCGAGGTTCACCAACTTCCAGAAACCAGCACAGAGGGACCGATATTGAGAAGTCAACAGGTGTAGAAACGTGGTCGGGGAGGCGGTCGCTCCGGCCTATGGGATTTGTTGCCGAACCGCGAGTAAGTCGAAGCAATGCTTCCGATGTTAGACCGCCAGGCCTAGCCTCGACTCTCGCAATGGAACTACAACACGTCTTGGGAAACGTTATGGCCTCCTCCACGGGATCGTCTTCGAAAATAATAGTCGAGTTTCCGTTCAGAGACTCGTCGCTGTTGATACGTACGGCGGATGAAGCGAGAGGCCGGGCTTGAACGAATACGCCATCAAAGAAGCACGAGTCATCCGCGGCGATCAGAAAGCGGAGGGAACGTTCACACCAAAGTGTGCGGCGTCAGGGCCATAAAAAAAAGCCCAAATAGCCCGGTGTGGTTTGCTGGGGTTTCAACACTGGCCGCGTGGTTGAGGGCACGAAGCCAGCCAGTACATCGTCGGAGCGGAGGGCAAATCGATCGATCCCATTTGTATCAGCTTATGGTCACCAGCCAATTTGGCTAGCTATCTGTCCAGGATTGCCCGAGCGGGTGTAGTCAATATTGACTGCCAGCTATTACATACGCCATACCCTAACGCATGAAGGCGGTGGCAGGTGGCCACCCTGGTCGACCCGGCGCGGACTACACTCCGGTCGACACCACGGAACACGGATGGGCAAAAGACATGGCAGGCGAGACTTGACGAGTTGGGCGAACGGGCGTGGAGGTAGGCGAGGTTTGCGGAAACGGTGGCTTCTGAGTACACGGGTGCGCCAGTCCCAAAGGTTATGTCATTTATAGAGTTGAAGTCGAACACTGGGGCGGGTTCTTGGACCCTTCCTCCGTGGCCCAAAGTTTGAGCTAATCTCTGGTTAATCAAAGGGTTTACTCGAGTGGCGAGTTGCTGGCTCTTTGGCCGTTCGTTCCGGGGTTGGGGAGAGGGAGCTCTGGTGTGAGCCGTGATACGCAAAGAATGCATTGATGCTTCCGACGCGTGATTGGGGCTCGGAGTTGCGGGGGGGGGGGGGGGGGGGGGGGGGGGGTTGCTGTGTGCGGGACATCAAGACATGTCAAATGAATGGACAATATATGCGGCGGCGGTAACGAAGAGACCTTGAGCTGCAGCGAGCTTCATGTGGACGGGTGTTTGGAGTTCTATACAAGGTTCACTGATATAAACTGGGTTTTGAAAGCGCAATCTTGGGACTGGCATGAAGCCTGGCCCGAGGGCGTCACACCAGCCGGGTGACAGGTCGTAACACTAGAGGCAGAATTACTCCCTGGGAAGATGCTTAAGATTGATGAACATATCATGTCAGCGATCCAGCGAGGATCGCGGCGGGAGGCAGTAATACTGGCGAATCCCCAGAGCATGCACGTCATATCGAAAAATGCAACCGCTCGGGGAGAAGGATCGCGGGGTGAGTTTTTGGGGTCGTCGATGACGTAAAAGCGAGCTGGAGGAGGTGGTTGCGGCAAAGAACGCAGGGCGACCATGCGCGCGGCGGACGGACCGAGTGACGGAAGTGTCGGGAGTTTGATTCAGCGAAGGCCACACGACACGACCGTTGGGCCGACGGCGGGCCATTCAGCCTGTTGGGCACCCGGGGGGGCCGGAGAGGGGAAACCGCATACAACCAACGGCCCGATTTATTCTTTAAAATTTTATTTATTTATTATTTATTATCATCTTCAAGGAGGGGGGACGTTTCGCTCTCGATGGCGGTACCTGAAGGCGGCTGGGAGCTGTTTTGGAGCATCCAGGCAGGAACCGGTTCCGAAAGCAAACGTCACGGATTGATTAGGCCGCTGGCTAATAACAATAACAAAGGACCTCGAGGGGCACCGATCTCGATGAGAGAGGCATCGAACAGGCGTCGACGTCCTTGCATGGCATCGGACGGTGGACCCGGCCATTGACGGGCATGGTTGAGGGCGGTAATGGATGGGTTCGTCGGTGCAATCCAGGTGGACGCTGGAAAACGACAGGGTTAGGGTCCTCTGGAGATTCGGGAACCGGAAAGCGTGTTCGTTACCTGGCCGCATGAGAGAGGGGGTAGGGGTAGAGGGAGAGAGAGAGAGAGAGAGAGAGAGAGAGAGAGAGAGAGAGAGAGAGAGTTTACGAGTAGGCAACTGCGAGGCAAGCGAGAGGACGAAGAAGAAGCTCCAGGCCGACGCATGGCACGGCATGGCATGGCATGGCATGGCGCTGGAGTACCTAGGTAGGCAAATGGCGAGTCAGCTTGCGTGGATGGAGCGGGATGACACACGACGTGGCAGGTTTGGATTTCTTGCAGGTTCAGCGCGCGACACTGGGTTATTCCCTTCCGCAACGTCCAGCGTGCAGGCCCATCCGCTGTTGGGCATTCGGGCACCACGACGGCTTGGCCTATCAAGACGAACCTCATCTGCAGTTGTGTGCACTTGGCTTTTCTTCCCTTGCAGCACACCCGATCTCTCCAAAGTGCAGGCTTACTAGTAACTCCTCACTCAACCTCCACAATGCGTCGTCCCTGAGGTCCAGTATGCCAGAAGATGTGGTCGTGACAGCTGCCCAGGTACGCAGACGTATGGACCCTACTATGTACAAGGTGTACGCTGGTGTATATGAACAGCATGCGGATACGGCAATCACAGTGACACCCGACTGCTCCCACTTACAAGAGCAGCGCAGTAGTCCCCACCGCAAGGGGTGAGGTGGCAGAGGTACGGATGCCCTTCCTTCTAAGGCAGAACGCATATGAAGACCAACAACCTGGAGCAGGGAACCGGCGACTAATGTACGAGATGAGGGCTAGCCAGACGTTCCGCAGCCGACCGGAGCAACTGCTGCGATGCATTGTGGGAAGCAACGGGAAACGAAGACGATGGCCTGTCGACTGCAGAAAAGAAAAAAGAAGGGGGAAAAAATGGTACGGGAACCGTCGTGCGTGCATGCATGCGTGTATCCATCCATCCATCCCACCACCCATTCATCGTTCCTGCTTCACTTCACCTCACTTCAGTCAATGTGCCTTCCTATCTAGTGGCCTCCTAATTACTACTACTACTACTACTACTACTACTACTACTATCTTTAGTGTCCACCACCCACCACTCTCTTGCTCTTCACTCTCACTCTCATTCTCACTCTCACCCGCCTAAACCCAAAAAAACTCTCTCCCGGACTCACCTCGTCATATTATGCTTTGCCCGACACGTGAACCACCACCATCTCGAATTCGACTAAGCGCCACCACTGGACAAGCGTTGCTCCCATCTTTTTGACTTTCTTCTTCTTCTTATTCGTTGTTGAATCAGGGGAAGCCTGCTGCGCCTACGACCGTGAGTGAGCTTGTCGCCACCGCCTTCAACTTGAGATGCATTCTTGATCTCCTTGGCATCATCTCACAGACGTCCGCCACACAGACATCCGTTTAATCCCCCGACCTACCACGCCAACTACAACGTCAACAGCATCATCAACAACAACAACAACAACAACAACAACAACAACAACAACAACAACAGCCCTTTGATCCGGCGGCCTCTCTTCGCTATTCTAAGGCTTCGTGGTCGAGGTAATGCCTCAAACGCTACCATAGTTGCGAAATAACCTACAACCACTGACAGCCTCACACTACCGGACGACATTGGGCCGATGCTGAACGTATCGCTCCACCTGCGACAGGCGCATTCCCCGTGACGCGCGCCCATGGTGCGCAGCCACCCGACTGACGAGTTCACTCGCGCCCTTTCTCGCCCGGGCCCCGTTCAACCCAACAAACAGTTTGCTTGTTTGTTTTTATCCCGCCCGCATCGCAACAACTCGCTCTGAGCGGGCAACACCCCGCCTTCGAGCACCGTCACCAGTAATTCATTCATGAGCTATGGCCGACGTCAAAGAAGGAGGCAGGGAGGGTCGCAGCGAGAAGAAGAGCTTCTGGGGCAGCATCTTCCGGAACAGGAGCCTCGTGAAGAAAGGGAGACTGGTATGGCGAGCCTTTCAAGCACTAAGCTGTCGTGGAGACAGACATGCGCGCCCCATGCCTTGACGGCTTTCGTACTGACTCTGGGTTACAGGAAAACCCGGAATCGCGCAGAGCGAGTGACGGAGATGTCGCCCCGCGCAGACGTCACTCCGTCGCCGACATGCGCAAGTCCCCGAGACCAGCCGAGTCTCCGAACGGCCACCCCGATCACCCGGATTACCGTCGCTCCCGCCGGCGGCCTAGAAGGCCGGACCCCGCCCGAGCCAAGGGGAAGGGCCGCGCACATCCCCACGGGGGTCTCTTCGAATCGGGACCGCTGACAGAATGGCCGCCGCCCGGAATGTCCAGCCAGGAAGAGCTCACTCTCGGCCATGCCATGGAGCTCGTCTCTCGCGGTGTCCCCGCTCACAAGGGACACAAGCGTCCGGTCCCGCACGCGTCGGATCACTATTACGCCCTGTACACCACCTCGGCGGGAAACCAAACCGACGAGTCCGACGTGGCCAACCTGCACGACTCCATGACCCAGCTGATGACCCTCCGTATGCAGGGCGGTGGTGCGGCCATCTATCCCTGGGAGACTCTCGAGCAGCCGAGCTTTGCCTTCTTCTACGGACAGCAGCCGGGCACCATCACGTTGAATCAGTGGGCTTCTCTATCTAGCATTGTGCCGCCCACTATCGCCCTGAGAGATTCCGGCGTGGCGGCCCGAGAGGTTGATCTGGCCCGTATTTTCGAGCGCCTGAAAGAGTTGGAGTCTGGCCTCGAGGACGACGACACCGAGTGGATGTACAAAAGCTTATACCGCCGCTTTCTCCGCGACCCCGACAAGCTGATGAACCCGCACAAGGGACTCGAGAAGCAGATCACCGATCTGATCATGGTCTTGTCTCGGCCGGACTGGATTGACTTCACGAACCTCAAGAACCAAGTCGTCACTCGCTTTATTTTCGACCCGGGCCGTGCAAGCCAACATCAGTACATCAAGTTCTGCCACCAACTTGTGCTCAGCATGGAGCTGGATTTGCGTATCAACTCACGGCTGCATGGCGAATGGGCCAAGGAGAAGTTGCTGCCTCAGCTGCCGCCCACCATCCAATGGGATCTTGCGCTCGCGAGACGTTGGCGGGAACACGTGAGGATCGAGGGCTATGGCAAGACAGTGGAGCAGAGTAAGTGAGCGGAACCTGCTCGAGAAGCAAGGCTAACGTGCGTCGCAGTCAACCTACGCTTCAGACTCAAAAAGCGGCAGATCAAGATGCTGCGGCGCTTTGCCCAGATGATGAAATGGCCGAACCTGGGCCAAGCTCTCGACAAGATGAAGCAGATGGACATGGAGGCGTCTCTCGACATCATCAGCTCCGATGCCTTGGCCTTCTTTAGCGGCCTCGTGCTACCCGGGGTAGGTTATTATATCCGTTCCCGGCCGGTGCTCCGACTCGACTAACGCTGAAAAGCCCACGTTCCCGTTCCTTATCATGAACACTCTCATCGACATTGATCCGGACAAGGCTACCGACTCGCTCGCCATGATGACGCACCTCCATCCCCATTGCGGGTTTCAGTACAGGAACAGTTACACCTACTGGACTGCCGCCTCCATCGTCGGAAAGGTACTTGCGCCTACATGTCGGTCCCTGGCAGGCTGGGTCGGACCAGCCCGTCCGACCACGGACCTCGGGCGGTCTCAAATCGCCCGCATCCGGTCCCGCCGCCCTCGCCAGCGCATGACACCAGAGGATGTCCAATCGATGAGCGAGCGATCCGATCCCCTTGGACCTCCGGCGGAAGTGTTTCCTGTCAAGGAGTACAAGCTCGTGGCGCCGGACGCAGACGACATAGTCGATACGGTGCGCATCGAGCTGCTCAGCTTCAGGGCAGTCCCCGTCCACTTTCAGGAGCCACCACCGGTGCCGAAGACATTCGACGCAACTGTCCAGTTCGCCGTCGACGGGGTCTCGTGGCCTATGCATTTGACCTACGACGTTTCCTTCATCTCGGCGTGGCCTTGCTCGGACGGCCCGCACCCGCTCTTCTTCGATTACATTTTCCAGACCGTCAAGGCAGACGAGGTTATGAACATCAAGGACTGGGGCGGACTATACGGGCAGTCTCCAAGCGCGCGAACCTCCAGGACGAGCTCCAATGCAGGCCCGCACACCACGAGTAGCCAGGATCAGATTGACGAGGAGCAGGTGTTGGTGGTGGAGGCGTTCGGAGTCAGAGACAATGAGGTCCTGGCTCGCGCCTGGTGTTCGCACTGGGGGCTGAGCGCCGTGGTTGCAGATATTCGAAAGACCTGGTGAGTCACTCGGAGGCAGGGTGTTCATTTTGTGCCTGCATGTCATTTTTCCGAGTAGCAGGACTTTCTTGGCTAACGTTGAATAGCATGGCATGCGCTATCCGCGAGGCGTACGCTGCAACACTGACGGTTGTGATCCTTGTGGACGACCAGGAATACAACGCGGACGACTGATGACAATTGCACGATCAAAACGATTTTCTTCTCTTTCCTTTCCTCTGGTTATGATGATGAATAGATAAAGTTTAAAAAAGGAACAGGCGGTGTCGGGAACGATACGATGGCCACCTCGGCTCGTGCTTTTTTCTTTTCTTTGTTGGGATTTTAAGATACCACAGCGAGTCTTGTTTTCGTCCGTGTAGATTTCTTGGAATATGGGACTAGCAAACACACAAGCACCGAACAGGTCATGTTTTGCGAGGAGAAGGGGGAGATGTAGCGAGGGGGGGGGGGGGGGGGGGGGGGGCCCCAGCCAGGCTCCAGGGAGGGATCTTGCGATGGATTGTGAAATACCCATGACAGAGTGCATTTCTTGAGCGTTTCGTTGGGTACATGCGGATACTGTTTCTCCGCCTGACTATAATTTCACCGGGTATTCTATATCGTACATTGTTATTTGTGGCTGTGTGCCCTTCCTGCTTGATCAGGCCCCCTCCGGGTCCCCGAGGACGGATTTGAACGCCGCCAGGCTCCGTTCCCAAACCCCTGCGCCATGGCCCTCGGCCCAGGCGGCCACCTTCTCGACGCCCTCGAGGTCCTCCTTCATGCGGGCCTCGTTCGTGGTCCCGTCCAGCACGCTCACCCCCCTCAGCCCCAGCACGAGCGCGTACATGGCGACCTCGTTGCTCACTCCGGCGCCCTCGGCAACCCTGGCGACAGCCTCGCCCCTCACCAGCGGTGGGTTCGCCGTCAGCGTCCAGAAGGACTGGAAGTTGATGCCCCTCTCGCGGCAGAAGACGCGGACGGGGGTGTTGTAGGCCTCCTTGGGGTTCAGGCGGTTCTGGACGACGACGGGCTTGACGGCGGCGTCGGCGCAGAGGGCGCGCAGCTCGTCGAGATGGACGTTGGAGATGCCGAGGGTGCGGATGCGGGACGGGACGTAGGACTCCAGGGCGCGCCAGGCGAGGAGGGTGTCGGCGTAGGAGGGGTAGGGGGCGTGGAGGAGGACGCAATCGAGGTAGAAGCCGCCGCCGCCGCCGTCTTCGTCCTTGGCTGCGGCGGGCGCCTCCTCCCGGGCGAAGAGGTTGCCGGGAACGGAGAGGTTGTTGAGGGACGAGGCGACGGAGGCGTGGACCTGGTCCGGGATGGGCAGCGCCGAGGGCGAGGGGGAGAACTTGGTCTGGATGTAGAGCGCCGAGCGGGGGACGCCGTGTGTCGGGTTCTGGGCGAGCCAGGCGCGGAGCCCGGCGCCGACTCCTTCTTCAGAGTAGTGGTGGGATGCGGCGGTGTCGAGGGCGCGGAAGCCGGCGGACAGGGCGGAGGCGACGAGGGGCGCGGTCTGGGACTTTTTCCAGGCGGTGCCGTAGATCAGGCGCGGTATCGGAGCGACGGTGTTAGTCATGGCTGGCAGGCTAGAGTGTTTTTATTCTGATTACAGGTATCAAATGTCGAGGTGTGGGTGATTGGGGATAACGCGACGTCGATGAGGTTATCCGGGCAATGGCAATGAGGCTCAAAGAGCGGCCGTGACGCCTGAAGGAATGCGAATTCAAAGCGTCAATCGGCCGACAAAATCAATCATGGGTGTGTCTAGGTTGTCAATCAATCTCATAAACCTACAAGTTTTCTCATCGCCAGGTAATTAGCTTCCATGGCCTGCAAAATAGGTCGTCACACACCCCTCAAAGGCATCGATGCACTGAAGCTTCTTCGATGACGTCTGTCTTATCGGCGATAAGAGAAAGCCCCGCCGCGGGGTAAACGGTCCGATCTTCCCACCCACGACGACCCCCACCCCGCACTACCTACAATTGCTCAGCTCTCAGTGACGGGAGGGTGATGGGTGATGGGTGAAGCGTTACAGCCAAGCATTCTTTGATTTACCCGATCGCTGGAAGCTTGCCGACGGGACCGTGTCTGTTCGCCGCCGCATGTTCCTCGTCGGCAGTCGCAAGCCGTTCTGGTACCCCGCAGCAGCTCCCTCCGAGGGTTGCTGAAGTGGAGGGGGGCGATAATCGATCGATGAGTGGTTGAAAAGGGAAACGACACCCTCGCCAACTCGCATCTGTTTTTCCCATCCATCTGCTTTCTACTCTTTCTCAAGGCACTTGAACTTGAGTCTTTGATCGCTCGCCTTCTCATACCTAATTATTGGCCTTTCTCTGTCGGACGATTTTCCCGCTTCAAAAGACCGGACCACACCACACGCACCTCACCACCCCTCTAAACTCGACTTTCGAGATGGCGCCGTACACAGTCAACTGGGGCATCATGGCCACCGGCGGGATCGCCGAGAGTGAGATTCTCCTTTCTTCGCCGACGACAGCTCCGTCCAATGCCGCAGCTCCCTTACCTTTCAAGTCGCACACTCTTGCTGATCCCTAATAGCCTTTTGCAAGGACCTCCTCACCAACCCGGCCTCGCGCGACGTGACTGACGTTGCCCACCGTATCGCCGCCGTCTCCTCCTCTCGCGACTCCCAAAGAGCGCACGACTTTGTCAAAAAGATTGATGCCCCGGCCGACACGACCGTCTACGGCTCCTACGCCGAGCTCGTCCGCGACCCCAACGTCGACATCGTCTACGTCGCCACGCCGCATTCGCACCACTTCCAGAACGCCATGCTCGCCCTCGACGCCGGCAAACACGTCCTCTGTGAGAAAGCCCTGACCGTCACCGCTGAGCAGACCCGCGTCCTCGTCGAGACGGCCCGCGCCAAGAAGCTCTTCTTCATGGAGGCTGTCTGGACCCGCTACTTCCCCCTCAGCATCAAGGTGCGCGAGCTCATCTCCACCGGTGCCATCGGCAAGGTCTACCGCACCACCGCAGACTTGTCCTTCAACAGCTGCGCCGAGGGCTCCGACAAGCTGTCGTTCCCGGACTCGCACCGAATGGTGAACCCCGAGCTCGCCGGCGGCGCGCTCCTCGACCTGGGTGTCTACTCCCTGACGTGGCTGTTCCAGACGCTGTACCACCTGCAGGCCGAGAATGAGTCGCCCGAGGTCCTAGCCTCAGTGCAGAAGTATCCTGTGACCGGCGTCGACGAGACCACCACCATGATCCTCAACTTCCCCAAAAACCAGCAGACGGGCATCGCCACAACCTCGCTGCGCGTCGACACGGCACCCGACGGCAAGGGGAGCACCGCCCCGGCGATCCGCATCCAGGGCTCCAAGGGCGAGATACAAGTCGCCCACCCGGCTTACCGCCCGCTGTCGTACAAGGTGATCAAGAAGGGCGTCAAGGAGGTCGAGGTTGTCGAGTGCCCAATCCCCGAGGACGAGGCCCGTGAGTGGGGTCACGGCATGTTCTGGGAGGCCGACGAGTGCGCGCGCTGCTTGCGCGACGGCAAGCTGGAAAGCGCCTCGCTGCCGCTATCGGAGAGTCTTGTAATCATGGAGGTGATGGACAGCACGATCAAGCAAGGCGGCATCCACTACCCCGAGCTCATCACCACGCACAAGTTTGACGCCAAGAGCCCGTTGAACCTGGGAAACGCTTGAGCTGGGATGCTCTGGTAGATGGTAAGCAATATTAGAGACTGGAAGAAAGAATTTTTTTTAAAAAAAAATAGTATCAGACCACATGGGCCGCGAGGAAAAGAGACACGTCAAATGCAGACCCGGCCTTAAGGTAGATGAAGATAGATAGGCGGTACGGCACCAGGACCCCACTTCTCGGTACCATATATCGCCGCCCCGAGACCGCCGCGGATCGGGACGGGACGGCGATGTGCCGCGAGCCCAATGAACTAAGCGATTTACGGACCGCGACCGTTTCACGCCCCGGCCCCCAATGTCTCTTCTCCTTTTGTGCAAGCACAGGTTTCGGGTGGCTGACACCTGGAGAGAGAGGCCGGTCCCCAGTCTACGGTTTGATCTACTCGCACCCCCCTCCCCAAGTGCGCGGGTGTACCTTCCTTATGCGTGCGTGCTCTGCCAAACGGACTCGATCGATGTCCTTTGGAGAATTCCAGTCAGGCGCCGCCACACGGGGAGCGGGCATTTCTGACAAACATGGACGCATGCGCAATGCCTCGATTCTTTGGCCGTGGATTGAATGCGTGCCGAGCTTTCTTTTCTTTTCTTTTTTTTCGTAGGTTTATACTTGCACAAGCATCTGCAGCATAATTCCACGGCGCACACACACACACACACACACCCACACACACATACCACGACCAGCCCCCCGGGCGGTTTCTCTTGCCAATCGGAGATCAAAACTACACGGTATTGGTACCAAGCAGACGGGGGGCCGATGGTGCCTTACCTGAACCTGACGTCGCCAAAGGGCATGTCATCCGTAAAGGGGCAAGGCGTCCGGAACAAATGTCGACGTGACTAATGGGCTGCAAGGCCACCCCCTCCCGCGGCTCACCAAACGAAGCAACCATATGCGCGACTACTCCTTTTCGGCGTCACCATGCTCAGTCCAACGATTCTGCACAGAATTGTGAGTTTTTCTCCCCTCCCCTCCACTTCTTTATTTCCTAAGCTAGCAAGCCTGGCGGGCCGAGAGGTCGAGCAGACAGGGGATGAACGGGGGTGCGAACGGGCCGAAAGAAGGACTCGGGACCCCCCCCCCCCCCCCCCTTTGGAGACAATCACGCAAGATATCATTCAAGGATGATCTCCATCCGTTCGTACCGAGCCCCCGGAATTCCAAATCTCGTTTGCGCGCCAGGCTGGAATGCTGCCCTCGTCCTTGATGCTCTCTCTCTCTCTCTCTCTCTCTCTGCATACACTCCCCCCCTCACCCCCCCTCTCCTCCACATCTATATCGCGCCCTCGGAGACAACATGAGACAGGAACAAACATTGGTGAACCCCACGGATCGACCATGACCGAGGTTCGTCCACTCTGGTGCTACGCCGGTGATTAATGCGCGACGAACGACGGCGGGTGCTGTTAAGGGGGTTAAGCGTCGCGAACTGTGTGGTCGCTGCTTTGACTTGCAGGGGATGAGGGAAGGGGGCATGATGTACCCCAACTGCCGCCTGTCCTCTATTTGCCGATGAAAAAAAGACAAAGAGACAGGAATGTGGGAGTGCTCAGCAGGGCCCGCATAGGAGTGAAGGACACTACCTAGAGCAGCAACAGCAGCAGCATATTCGGAGCCGTCCCGAGCTAGCTAGACAAGGCCCCCCGGAACGCGTCTCCGTTAGAGGCCACCAGCGTTACCATGGCACACCGTGATACTACATACAGGACATGGTGAGTAGTATCCGTACTCCGTATGTATTCATACTCCGTAGACAGCTTCTCGAGCAGAATGAGGGGCCCACTTCACTCCTCTCTAATATCACCCAGCTTCAACTTGCCCGATTCGTCCGGGGGTGTTTTTCTTTTTTTTTTCACCCCAAAGGCCAAGCAAGGCCTCCAGCGGTGCAAATTGGCGGGGCTCTGTCAATTCTCCGTCGGCTGCTATCCTAAGCGCCTTATTTTTTCTGCCTCCTACAACCACACCGCCCGACCGACCGACCGACCTGAGTCACTGACGTCTGCAGCGCACGAGCCTCGCCGACGGCTCTCGGGGTCTCCCGCTCGTTCATTTCATCTTTGCACCCCCACAAACTACTCTCTTGCATCGCAACAGGAGAAAAGGGGGGGGCGTGTGTGTGACCAGTTGTAACCTACCTACCTACCTACCTGCAAACCCGAGGCAAGAGTCAGACTCAAGACACACAGACATCCATCCAACCTCGCGCTCCATTCTCGTTCTAGCTTTCCAAACGTCTCAACATTTACATATCAAGCTTAACGGGACCGCCGGTCAGGGGCCTCGAGGTAACCCTCCCTCTTTCCCCCTTTTCCCGGCCCCTAAACCTGTCAGCCTCTTCTCGGCAGGCAAATTAGAGGGGGGAAGCTTTCGGCCAGTAGCTATAGCTGCAAGGGAGGGGGGAACAGCTCCGAAAAGGGAAACCTGCTGCTGCTGCTGCGGCGCGAGCCCAACTTTGCTAGCCTAGCGCAGCCCATGGGTGTCTCGCCCGGCCCCCAACTCGGCGCCGGCCAGCCGGCCGTGCCCGCCGCTGTCGATCCCCGTTCGCCGGAGCCTCCTTCCGTCCTCGGCGACTCCTCCGTCTCGTCCAACCGCGGAAATGACGCTGTCATCTCCCAGCCGTCGACGGACGCAGCATCCCGCCAGCAACCAGCCGAGGGAGTTCAAGGAAAAGAAAAAGATGCAGCAGCAGACGACGACGCGGACGCCTACGAGTCCCGTCATGTCCACACCGTCTACGAGGCCATCGCCCCGCACTTCTCCTCCACCCGCTACAAGCCGTGGCCCCTCGTCGCATCCTTCCTGCTCTCGCTGCCTCCCGGGTCCGTCGGCCTCGACGCCGGCTGCGGCAACGGCAAGTACATCGGCGTCAACCCGGCCCTCTACATCATCGCCTCGGACCGGAGCGCGAACCTGGTCTCACTGGCGCGGAGCTACCAGCCGCCGCACTTTGAAGCCGGCGGCACTGGCAACAGCAACAACAACAACAGCAAAAAGAAGAAGAACACGGACAAGAACAGCAAGAACGAGACCAAGGAGGGCGCCGCCGCGACGTCCGAGTCTGCGTCGGCGGCGACCCGGGCGCCGAACAACCATTCGACACAAAATTAGGATGGACGGGGTTCGGATAACAGCCGGACGTTGGGCTTTCGCACGTTGGTGTAACCGTCTCATTTCAGATTGAATGTGACGTCGTGTGCACGCACACGGGCCAGCAAAGCGAATGTCCCGGTATTCTCTCTCGTTATTAGAGGACCAGGCAAAATAGGCCTAGGTCGTCGCCCTGGAGCTTCTAGTAACCCCCATACCTGTAAAAGTAAATTCTTTGTTTACACCTGGACCAGCAGTTGTTGGCCGATCAGGCTTGGCATTCTCGTTCTCAGTTTACATGAGACCATTCTGACCCTCACAGCGCAGGCGCAGTATAAGAGCGGGAAGCATCGATACCGGTTGCTTATTGTCAGAGGAATATATATTCCCTAAGGTCGTACGGCAGTGGACGTCCTCAAGCAGGGACTTATATCCTTAGCATAACCTGGAATAGCGTTCGTAGGGTGCTATATTAAATGGTGGTCTCAGGGGTAACTGGGGCGGAGGCGCTCTCCACGATCGCAGGCCATATCGCCCTGTAGAATCAAACACTCCGTGTACTTGGAATTGGAAGAAAAAACACCGGTCAGCCGAAAAATAGCATTATTATTGAATGGGTGACAGCAGGACGGGGCGGACGACAACTGACCGGGGAAGTGGAACTGGCATGGTTTTCGCCAGTGCGGCACTTGTACCGGCCATAAGTCCAGCTCTATCCATATCTTGACACTAATATTCATTCGCAGACTAATTCGGTGATTTAAGATCGTCCATGAGTCCTGCTTTCTGCGCAGCTTAACTCGTCCTTACATTCGGCACTCAAGGGCCGCGGTCCAGCTGGTCCCATGACCCCCTTTACGGTACACCGGAAATGCAGCGGGTTTCTGATTGCTGGTATGGTGTTAATGCGATCAGGTCTGACATAGTAGCGCTCAAGAGTGTTTTCGGGCATGAGGTCGCGCGGGGGGGGTTGACGAGAGGGAGGGGAGAGGGGGGAAAGGGAGGGCGTTCTAAAAGGGACCTGAAATTCTATCATGAGCGTTTCCCATCTCTTGGTCAAAGTGACATGTTCCGCCCGTCTTGCTCTTCGCTTCTTTCCGCCCCCCTCGCCTTGACCGGCGGTCCCCCCTACCCGAGAAACAATACATACAGATGAAGCCAACACCGCACGCATAAAAACACACGTACACACACCACCATGAGCCCTCTTCTCCTCCGCGTTTCCCACCTCTCGTGTGTCCTTTCCTCCTCCCGTCTCCTGCCCCCATCTGCCGGGGTACCGTGGAAGCCCGACGGCAACAAGGATCCTCATTTTTGCTTTCCGTCTCTCCATCTCTCTCTCTCTCTCTCTCTCTCTCTCTCTCTCTCTCTCTCTCTCCACACGTGCACACGTCACACACCAACCCATCCGCCGCTGCCGCCTGCCAACACACAACGTGGAATCCCCAAAGGGAGGGGGAGGGAGAGAGAGAAAGAAGAGAAGAAAGGAGGAGACCAGGTAAAAGTAAAATGAAACGAAGAAGAAGAGGACAGATGGAAGGGGGGCAGAGGAAAGAAGGCGTGGAGGATAGAAGGCCGATCCAGCACGGAGGAACCTTCTCCCCTTTCCCTCCGCCCTCCGCCCCTCCCCCCGCCATATGTGGTAACGATGTCGTAGATGAAAAAAAAAAGGCAAGGGAAAATACTCGAGACGAAAAAATCTTGCTCCGGTCCTGATGCAACATGCTGGTGCTCCTGTTTTCGTGTCGTGCGCCGCACCCCCTACCCCTGGTCCTTCTCCTTGGACAAACACGTCTGACGATGAAAAGAAAAGAAACGAATCCTCGGGAAATTCCCCATGCTCGTCATGAAAAAAAAAAACCTCAGTAAGGGGGATAAAAAAAAATGTGACACGTGCGTTTCCCCTCACACACACAAAGAAGTTTTTGTTCCCAACTCCGAGTTCGCCGCCCCCCGGCCCCGCGCCCCTCCCTTTCCTACGTTCGCCCGTAATCTCTGCTCTAAAGTCATGCAATACGCCGCCGATCCATCTCCTCCTGCCGGGGGTCCATGTGCCGTCGCCGGCTCGTCTCCCTCGAGCCCATCATCTCCGTGCCCGGGCTCGCTCGTCGCTTGGCCCCGGGAGGCTCGTGGGGCGCCGGGTAGTGGAGGGCGGGGAGTAGCGGTCCCGGGCTCGCTCTGGCGCTGGGTACGGGGCTCGCCGTGGGCATGCCTCCCAGCGCGTAGGCCGGGGTGCTGTACGGGCTCATGCCTGTCGTCAGTTCGGCCACCCCCGGAAGCATCCCGGAGCTTCGGCTCGGCGGGAGCCCCTGGATCGGTGCTAGCCCGGGGCCGCTTTGCGTCATGCTCGCCATTTCGTTCGGGTCTGGCCCCATTGGCGGCGGCGGCGGCGGCCTTCCGGTAATGCTTTCGCGTCGGGCGGCGAGGGCTCGTCCGCCGGGGATCGGCGATATGCCCGGCGGTGGCGGTGGCGGTGGCGGTCGGCCGTATCGCGGGGAAGGACCGCCAATGTCCCGGGGCAGGCTGCCCTGTGACTGTGAGTGCATGTGGCCGCGGGAAGGCGAGTGTCGGTGACCGGCACCCGGTTGGTCGACGTTGACGGCCGTCAGAGAAAACGGCACAACACCGGCCCGTCGAGCCATGTCGGCTTCGCCAAGCTGCCAGTGCATGGCCTCGGCGGCTCGCCAAGGAACGGCCATCTCTTCCGCAACCTTTGCCCACATCTCCGGCTTGAACCTGACTCACGCGTTAGTTCCCTTCTTCGCGACGGCGGGGCATGGGGGGGATTGCAGCTGTCTCGGACGATCGCTGCTGCTGCTGCTGCTGCTGCGTTCCGGATCGTACCTTTCGTAAAGCCGCGCGAGCTTGTTTTTCCGCTCCTCGTCCCACTCACTCCGCCTCTCGAGGTAGTTCTGGTAGTGAAGCCGGCAACTGATGGCGCTTCGTCCCGGAAGACGTTTCGAAATGTCTTCCCACTTCATCCCGCTCCCCCGAAGTTCGATGATCAAGGCATCTTCCTCCGGCGACCACTTGCTCTGCTTTTTGGCCGGAGACTCCGCTACGTGCGGCGGCATGGCACGTTTGCCGCTCGCAACTAGGCCCGGCGCTATGGGTGGCGGGCCATACGGAGGTAGCCCGCTGACAGGCGCCGTGGTCGCCGTGGTTGCGGTCGTGGACGGGTCTGAGGAGGATCGGGTATGCTGGGGCGGAGCGGTGGAGGACTCATCTGAGTCAGGAGCCTTCAAGAGAGACGCGATATCCACGGTGACGGTTTTGCCGCCTAGGTAAGTTGGATACGGTCTTGTGTCATGGGCGCGATAGACGCGCGCCAGCTTTTCGGTTTGCGTGGCACCACCCGGAACGGGCAGCTGTAAAGGAGGAAAGTAGCTGATGGTCGATTATGTGTCCCAAAGTTTGCAACTGGGACCGTCGTTTCGATGCTCGTCCGGATTACTGTTTTGTCTTTGTAGGTAAAGGGGGCCTAGGAAATCGGCTTGCGGGGAAGGCGGCGGGTGCGGGCTAAGACGGAGCACGGGGTCGACGACGTCGGCGGAAGGTTTGGTGATAACGGGCCAGCTGCTAAACGCAAAGGGGGGGGGCAAAGGTTTCTTTTGTGTGAATATGCTCCCCTGAATAACAGGCGACGTTGATCTCAATGTTGGCAAGTTTGGCAACAGAAAAGAACCCCGAAACGAAAAACAAAAAGGTTCGTTCCGTATAATCCTGGTGAGTAGGGTAGAGGGATGGGGAGGGAGGAAGATCTGAAAAGAGGAAGAAAAGGATCCGAATGTAGATCAAGATGGCGGCGTAGGTGGTGTTTTGAAAGAAGTCATCAACATGATTGGGCCAGTCCAAGAGGCCGGTGAGCAACGATGGACAATCGGGCTTGCTTGCTCGCTCGCTCGGTGTTGAAGCAGGTAAGCGGCAGGTAGGGCGGAGCAGAGAGGATAGCGGCGGCGGGAAGTATACGTCAGTCAGAGCAGGGTGCTGGAAGTCTTCATCAGAAAGCGAGGCTTTGCCAGAGTCATCGTTCTCCCACTGAGAGTCGGTAGAGGCCAACGAAGCAAGGTACAGGCCGGTCCAGGTCGGGAACTTGCGGTGATGCAGTTTGTGAATGGAAGAGAAAAAGAATTAAAATGGACCAAAGAAAGTCGCAGTTGGAGGGACGGTGATGGGTTGAAGAGGTGGAGGAGGAGGTGGGGGGACGGAAACTGGGGTCTGATTAACAAAGTGACAACCAAGCCCAAAGTACCTACTCTTAAACTGAGGAGAGGAAAGTCATCGAATAAGAAACAAGAGGAGACTTTGGGTCGAAGGCCAGGGAGGGGCGTGTCATGGGTGTGTGAGAAGAATCCCAGAATCAGCACTATAGCGACGAGCCCAGCAGCAGTGATGGAGAGCCACCGCGGTTGTGGAGAAGGGGGGGGGGAGAGAGAGAGAGAGAGAGAGAGAGAGAGAGACGAAGACGACTAAGACGTATAGGCGATTTGAATACGGAGTACGGATGGGAAAAGTGTACATGTGTGCGAAGAGCGAGAGGGTGTGGATGGGGAGGGGGAGCGTGTGTGCGGGTGTGTGTGTGTGTGTGTGGCCTTTTTTTTTCCTCCTTCGTTTTTTTGGCACTCTCTTTCTCAGGCAGGCAGAATGGCAGTACCAGAGTGGACGGTAGTGAACGTAGTAAGTAATAGGGCAGAGCGTATATGTCAAGCTTGCATATAGGGAGGGGATGACCAGTGGCAGATGATGGGATCTTGTTGGTGCCGCCGCCTGTCCCTTGCCTTGCCTGGGACAGTCCGTCGTCTGTTGCCCTGCCCTCATTGAAGAATGCGATGCGGCGGAGGTGGTGGTCGAATAAGGCCCATGAAGGACTGCTTTACCCAGGCATAGTTTGGGAACCGACATGGATTGGCCAGTTGAGCACATGTTTGAAAGACACACGCCCCCCTTCCCGCGGCACAACACACAGACACCGGGTGGCTGCCATGCTTTCTTTTTCCTATCGCACCCCTCCCCCCCCCCCCCCCCTATTCAGCAAGCTGCCCAGTTTAGCGTGTCGACACCCTAGTGTAGTAGACCGCAGCTCCAGGTAAGGAGGGGTCCTGGACATGCCTAGGGACGCCCGGGAGAGGAGAATGGGTAACAAAGATGTCAGCAGTCGTTGGAATTTGAGTGCGGCGTCGAGAGGCCGCTACCCGGGGCTGGGTGATGCTAAAAAGGCATGGCCACGCATTCATGCATCGCCGTCCCGGTTCAAGCAGAAAGACCATCGACAACCCGTGGTATGCCTGGCCCGGCACATTCAATGCGGTGTCAAAACCCGAACGAATGTGGAAAATGAGCTGGATGACAGCTTTTTCCCTACAGAGGGGATACAGGGAAGAGGAGGCAATACAAGGCGGGTGATAAGGATAGGTTCGTGTCCGTGTATGATAGCCACACATGGTCACAGCTCCCTCGCATGGTAGGAACCCGGTTCGGAAGGGCGGAAAGTTTGAACGACGTCGTCAAGAGTGTGCATGGCCCGTAATCCTAGGGTCCCTGACGGAGAGAGTGAGCGCGTGCTTAGGGCAAGACAGCCAGGCGTGAAGAGGAGGAGGAGGGGGGGATGTGGTGGGCAACAGTTTGTCACGAAACCCGCATGGTGTGTACACACACATCACACACACACACACACACACACTACACACACTACACACACACACACACACACACATACACACATACACACACTACACACTACGGGTGCCGTGGAGCCCAAGTCTGAAACCTGCCGTTGCTGATGCAGTGAAGAGTCGAGAGCGAACTTTAGACATGCGCATGTCGGCAAGTCGTGTGGTTGTTAGATGCCGCTTACGCCTGACGGGTGCTGCTTCTCATGGATCCGGAGGCAGCGGGTAGCTTCGTACTGATGGTCCCGTGGTTGGCTGGCGTTCTGGATTACAGCACGCGCCCGTAGAAGTCAAATGCGAAAGTATGACGGCGTGCATAGTCGAGCACCGAGAAAGCAAGAAGTTTAGAAACGCCCGATGAGTCGGAGACAGGAAGACCGACGGAAGAAGTCAAGTTGAAAAGGATAGGTCGGCCGAAAGAAGAAGGGGGGGTTAGGAGGGACCACGAGAGCGAGGATTCCGATGCTTGGCCTTTTTGCTCTTGATTTTTTTCTCCCGCTCTTCTTCACTCTGAGGGGGCTTTTTTTTTCTTGAGTGCGCATGTCCACCTCCAGGTACCTGTGTGTCTCTCGTGGCAGTTTGCTAACACAGATTGTGCTTATGCCTTCACCCGATCCTAACGGGTTCAATGGGGCACTGCTCGATCAAGCAACCAGACTGCATGCGCATGTCTCGTCATGTCTTGCGCGGCTCCCTTCCGTGGCTAGGACTACTGCCAATGACAAGTCGGCGGTGAGGTTCGGCTTGGGGAGCTGAGCTGAGCAGAGTAGAGCAGAGCAGTGTGGAAGGGGATCAAGAGAAGGCGAGCTGGGAGAGAGCAGCGGGAGAGAGTGCAAAGCAAAAGGAGAATCGCATTGAGACCCGATGTCTGTGCGGTCGACACAATGGGCGTAGGATGAGGCTTGTCTCGACGAGGCCGGACAACCAACAACGACAGACGGCCATGCGCCACTGCCGAACGAGTCGTCGAGGGCGGTTGACTAGCCGCAGAGACGGGGTACTGCTGGGTTGGGTTGGGAAACGTTTGATCAATGCACTTCATGCCAGAGCAGTTATTTTTCCATGGACATGCCCATGACCTCGGAACCAGGACCAGGAAGGAGCCACAGCCCCTCACAAAGAAGAGTCTGTCTTGTCTCGTGTTGTGGTCGGTCTGTCTGTCTCCCTCCCTTGCCGGTCCTGCTCACCGGTCGTTGCCTCGCCTTGTCTTGCCTCGCCGATGCTGACGGTGTTCTCGGCTCGGTCCTTTGGTCTGATGATGAACTGGCGGTCAGATATGCAGCACCGCACAACGCAGCGCAGGGCAGCGCAGCTTGCAGCGTCCGTCCAGAAAAGCCAGCCTCCCAGGACCAGGGAAGTAACTTCTGAGGGGGACGGTGGTTTGGCTGCATCAAATTGCCATGAACCATGATTGCCATGCAAACTTGGGGTATGCTTGCTCGCTGCTTTGCTGGCTAGCGGCGTTCCGGCAGCCCTTTTCCCGCCTGGCAGTAGCATCACCGGATCTCCATTTGCGGTGGTTGTTGTTCTCTTTGGAGGGGCTCACCCTTCTGGCTGCACCGGACGCCATCCATCCATGCTGGTAGCCACGACGCACCGGCGCACACATAGGGTAGACGAGGCGACCACAAGACGTTGTCATTGTCGCCGTTCGTCTTGTGGTCAAGCCACAGACGGCGGTTTGGGCTCGGGCTTGGGCTTGGGCTGCTGTTTGCTGTTTGTCCTGGCCATCATCTGTTGCCTCGTCGGGGGGGGGGGGGGGGGGGGGGGGGGCGTGAACCGGGCCGGCCAGCTTCCACGGCATCGGTGCCTGACATGACGATGGGGCCGTATGTACATGAGGGAGGGGAAGGGGGCGACTAATGGCCGAGAGCATGGAATAGAAGTAATAATAAGTCTATACTCCGTATGTAGCATTCCATTTGAGGAGGATTAGGCGGCGTGTACAAGAAGAGATGACATGGTTTGTATCTGTACCTTAGTACACGGACAGATTCAATCGAAAAAAAAAAAAAAACCCGAAAAAAAAGAAGAAGAAGAAAACGCGGAGCAAATGGGAACAGCATCCGGCATCCGGCATCCAGGACTTGTGTTGAAGAGTGTTGAGAGAAGATGCGAGAGCTGGTTGTCAATAGATGGGCCTGTGAGGAGAGAAGGAGATGGATGATGAATGATGTGATGTCAATTGATGATGATGATGATGAGGATGTTGATGCTACCAGCCTGCCAGTCACCCTCTGCTGAGTACCCATTATCATATCTTTCCCTCACCTAGGTACCTACCTACCTATGTAGCGGCCGGTAGGTACTTCGTATATTACCTGGGTAGGTACGTAAAGGTAAGGATAAGATTCCCATCCGACGTTTCTTTTCTCATACGTCGCTCCGCCCAATCTCCGAACTACACTACACTGCACACGTATAGGTAGGTGGTAGGGTACCTAGGGTAGGGTAGGATACTTCGTAGGTTACCGGTAGCGGCTGCCTCTTTACTGCGCGTGAGCAATTCCACCACATACAAGTAAGTACACTACCAAACCGACAAAGAGGAACCGGGAAGGAGAGAATGCGTCCGCGTCTGTTGCTGTTGCCCGGGTTGTAACCTTCCTTTCCCAACCCCCCACCGTCTGGGTACGTACCGTGCCAGAAGCCTAATGACTGCAGGCACCACCGACTGCCTGCCTGCCTGCCTGCCTGCCTGCCTGCCTGCCTGCCTACAAGACCCCAGGTACGTAGCTAGGCATGTACCTCCAACTGCGTAGCGCACGCCGAAAGCAGGCGCCCAGTCTCGCCTCTCGCATGTCTCTCATCCCTTGGGCCAGCGGTTCCTTGCTTCTCCCGCATGTTCCTTTGCGCCGGACGGCCTCGTAAGGCGATTGTGTGTGTGCTAAGCCGTTCGTTCTCTCCGCGACCGCCTCTTTCCGAGATTCCATTGACCAGGTGGAGGAAAGGGGGAAGGAAGGGGGGGCAGCCCGAGACAGACGAGGGCCGTGAACCGAGTACCTACACCACAAAAGCGCACCTAGGCGATAATTTGCGCTCACGCCTTTGTGTACGTACCATCCATCCATCTCTCAAAGATACCCTACACTACTACTACTATTACTACTACTACTACTACTACTACTACTGATACTACTACTACTACTACTACTACTACTACTACTACTACTAATACTACTACTACTAATAATACTACCTACTGCTACTACCTACCTACAGCGACATGTAATGTGCCACCTCGAATAGGTGAGCCCAGACTTATTACATGTCACTGTACCTTGGTAGGTATCCGGCAACCTGTCTACATACCTACGTAGCAACCCCAGGGCCATTGTTTCGTAGACTAGCAATCTAAGGGAAGGGAAGGGGGGACCGTTGCAGCGCAATGTGTCATCGTACCTACCTAGCCGGCTTGCTGCGTAACAAAGACGGGGAGAGAAAGGCAACCCCGGCGCTATCGTTAGCCAGCTCGCCTAGCAACTTAGTTAGGCCTATGCTAAAATGACTGCAGGTATCCAATCTGTCGGAAAGAGAAAAAAGGCGAAGACGTGTCGACGTGTCGACGTGTCCGTCACCGGGCAGTGTCTTGGGGCCCCAAAGTCAAGATGCGTTGGAAAAAAAAAAAAAAAAAAAAAACCTCGTGTTCTGCAGCGGCCTAGCGATGCCATTATCAAACACCACTTACAAGCTAATCACCCATCCATCCATCCATCCATCCACCCGTCCATCCTTCATTTCATGCCCGAGGCAAGGCCTATTACATATACCATGTGCCTACATGACTAAGACACCTCACCGCCGCTTAGATGTGGCATTGACTTTTTCCCCCCAAAAGAGGAGAGGTTGAGAGCATCTCGCCCTCCCTCGGGGACTTTGTCCAGAGCCCCCCGGCCACGGTTGCTGCCTCCTTGCCTTAAACGGCAGGGTGGCCTTGAACCTCAAGCGACCCTGAATTCTCCCCAACCGGCATCGTTCGGTAGATGACATACATACGGCTGTCTGCCGGAGGAAGGGGGCCGGACAGGGAAGAGGGGGGGGGGGGGGCTCGACACGCTGTTGCTGTTGCTGCTGCTGCTCAACCAAGGAACCAGGACCGGGGCGCTATGCTACATAGGTAACCTACCTACCGAGTATGGTGTACCTACCTATAGGCACGCTGCGGAGCAGCCCACAAAAGTCGGGTCCTGGAACCAATCTTCCACCGAAACATGGCCGAGAACATGGCCCAGATGCCACTGGCCCCCAATGCCCGTCGGTCCGGCCATTGTCCTGTTTGTTAATATGCATTGTATGTCCTTGTCCGAACTCTCTCTTCCTCCCTCCTCGCTGAGGCAACATGACAAGAAAGCGATGCTGCTATGTGCCCATGTCATCATCCGTCTCTTGTAGCCGTTTGCATCCACGTCAATCAACGACCCGAACCCGCCCCATGGTTGCAGATCAGATCCTGGGTCAAATCTCGCCCTCACAATCCCATTCTCATCTTTGTTCCTCCCCCGGTTTGCGACGCGCCTGGGATCCATCCAGCTCGTCATTGCCTGCCTGCCTGCCTGCCTGCCTGCCTGCCTGCCTGCCTGCCTGCCCGCCGCCGGCCCGGCGGCAATGTAACACAACCGCCCGCCTTCTTCCACGACAGCTCAGCAGGTCAAGTGAGCTGAAGCGCATGTATGCCGACTCCCACGCTGACAATCCCTTGGGAATCGAGAGCCTATCAAATGCCTCTCGACGTGATTCGCAGCCGCCTCATCCATTTGCTGCCTAGCTTTGGAGCGCGAGCGCGCGGCCCTGCGTCGCTTGCCTTGCCCATGCGCGAGGCCGTCTCAGGGGAACCCGACCTTGCACCGCTCTCTCGTGTCGTTACCGTCGCCAGGACGAGTCACGGTTCCGAACGACGTAGCACGGCACTTGTCAGTACCTGCCATGGTCGTCCGTCCGGCAATACATTGGAAACAAGGGGCAAGGGTGATAACGGCCAAAGGTGCTTCCATCTTCCCTGTCGGTAGGTCTTCCGGCCGTCTTAGCTGAGCCTGTTATACCCCGAAAGCGCTGTGCTGGCTATGCACCCGTCCAAATCCCAACCCCTGTTCCGGAGCTGCCTCACCACTTGTTCCCGCGCCATGACTGACGCCGACGTCATGAAGCCATCTGCCATGAGGGACGGATGGGTCCTACGTCTCTTTGCTCCAAAAAAAAAAAAAAAAACAATGGGCGGGTAGCGCTGCGTACATATCCGTGTCGACTAGCTAGGTATACGACATCGTCAATCGCCAGATTGGTCAGCGTTTGTCCGAGCTTGGCCAATTCCAAGGGCAGAATAACTGCTCGTTTGATACGTGCACTCCTTCCTTGAACCTCTGGGGCCAGTCTGCTAGAGACTGGGCTGGATTACCTAGAACAACATCTTCTCCGCTTTGCTTCCTCGTGCTTCTAGCGCTAGCGTTGCCTCCCGTCTCCAAAGGGTGAGAGCATTCGAATCCGTGCCACTCCAACAGAACAACCCAATTGTCGGTCACACAAAGAAAACCCAACGTGGCGGTGAACGGGAGCCAGCATTGCAGAACCGCATCTTTCTTGGGCATAGCGGTAACCCACTGACGGATCGGGTAGCAAGGATAGATCTGGTGCCGTGGTTTGTTGCTGGCGGCTCCTCAGTCTGGCATACATCGCCCCCCCAGAGGCAGCATTGCAATGCCGCGTGTGCCTTGGCTGGTACCTATTCGTGGGAGCTGGTGACTAACTAGATGGTCGTTAGCAACCCCCACAACGCTTTCGGGTATTCTGTAAGCTGTCCAGAAATATAACATCGACCATATATTGGGTTCTTGTCGAGTTTGGACTCGGAACGTAATTTGTGACAGTGGCGCAGAAACAATCACGACCCACTCCCACATTCGCAGAAGAAAGGGCAAGGATTGTTCCAGAAAATGAAGCACCTCGCGTCAGTGAGCTTGTCCATCTCGAGTTGAAGGGCGAACAGGCTGCTCGCTATGACCTGTTGGCGGGTGCGCGAGCGACAGTCCCCCATGCCTGCCGCAGCTGACGCATAACAGCCACATCGGAGCATGAAATGGAGGTGTGGGTGGGCTATCATGGTTCTGCAACGAACATTACGATGGATGTTTCATCCTATCCGTTTGCGTTGTCCGTCATATCAGGTGCCAGATCCTCGTGGTGGTTGGTGGCCCTGCAGTTCACTTTGAAGACTCCCAATCATGGATGGGCGAATACCGGTATGCACCGTTTCCCTCGCTGCTGTCGTGTCGGTGTCAGCGTCTTGCCTACGCACGCACACAATGAATAATCGAGAGGGAGGGACCGCCCATTGTGCATCTCCATGTCCGTGGTATGTCTCTGTCCGGCGGCGACGACGACAACGACGACGACGACA